CAGGATCATTGGGCAACCCAGGATCAAAATTATCAAAATAATATGTGACCCTGAACTAATATAGAACTTCAACCAGAAGTTAAAACAAAAGGTATGAGAGTGTCAAGACTTCTAGCACCCCACAATTTAGGAGCTTCAGGCTCAATCTCTCCCTTTGTACTGATACCAATTGGAACCATTCACAGAGAAGATAATCATTATACCAATTCCATAGATAGTGCAGAAGATACCATAACCAGTAGTTCCAATTGAAGAGAATATATGTTGCTCAGAGTTGAACTGTAAACTGGTTGGTTGTTTGCTTGCAGATGTTTCATTATCAAACATTATCTAGCCAGGTAATGAAACTTCTGCAAGCAAACAGCCAAGCTCAGAGACCATCAAGGATTCCACATGATCAGTGGTATTGAAAGCTGTTGAGAGATCAAGGAGAATCAGGACAAATAGACCATCCCTATGACAGCTACACTATGCCTTGATTTGAAACATGACTGAAAAGTGTCCAGATAATCATTTTCTTTAAGGGCCTTCTGAAACTACAGTCCAACTGCATTCTCAAGAACCATCCCTCAAAGGAAGATTATAGACTAAACAAAAGTTACCCAGAATGTTTGGGTCCAGCAATGACTTCTTGAAGAGAGCATATACCATTATCCAGTGGTCTCCAACCTTTCCAGCTTTGCAGACTTTGGGGGGGGGGAGGGAGGGTTCTGTGTGAGCTGTGGGCATGCGCACGCTCGCCACTTCTTGCTGCCCTATTCTGAACAGGACATGGCCTGATAGTGGGTCATGGCCCAGGGGTTGGGGATTTCTCCCATTATCTATTTAAAAGGAGGCAAAACCACTCCTTCCATCAACAAGGCTGACTTCTTCCAAGCAGTCTTCATAAGCTAAGAGGATTCTAATGGGTCATTTATTGTTGTTGAATTGCACCCAGAAGCTACCTGGCAGCCAGTGTAGCTTGCATAGCAATGGTAACACAAGCACAACAAGAAGTTCTTATTATTGCTTTCACCCCTCTGCTTTGAATTAATAATAGCTTCTGGATGGTCTTCAATGACAGCCCTATGTAGAGGACATTACAATACTCCAATTGTGAGGTGAACATGACATGAGTGACTGCCTCCAGGGCCTCCCATTGATAAAGGGATGCAACCGGCATACAAGATGTACCTGTGCAAAGGCCCTCGTATAGGCAGTAGCTGTAAGCCCAGGAGTCTCAAATGGGGAAGTGCAACCCCATCCAAAACCAAAGATGGAAATGTCCCTGATCACAATCATTTAGTCTTGTCAGGATGGACCAAAGTCTATCCTCCCCATTTAGTTATAGGTTTATGTGATCCCAAGTGTTCCCATATAGAACACAAGCACATCACCTTTATTAAAACAATTTACCAATTAACAACTATAATCTACTGGTAGGTTAATCTAGGTTATGTTCTTATGACTTAAATAGAATATACTTACACTCCCTTTCCACAAGTATTTTCAGGCAGAAGATACAAACAACTCACTTCTTCAGTTGTAGTTTGCAAATCAGAAAAGACTATTTCCATCTAAAATGTAAAACTAAGTTTTCAACTTTCACAGGAGATAAAGGTTCCTTGATATCTCAAAAATAATTTAAATTGAGACATCTGCTTAGTGCATGTTGATATAATACCAATGAGCAATAGTATAGTTCAAGAAAGAAAGTAGACTTACCGGTAGTAAATAAATGGTCATGTCTGCCCATTGGCATTCCTTGTGGAGTAAAAAGTCTTGTCAAATTCTGTCCCTAAAATCTGAAGTCTGCTTCAAGTAATGTTAACATATTTTTAGCAGGCTCTTATGGTCGCTCTTTTCTGACTCTGCTTCCATCTAGTTGCTTTCATATCTTAAACAATAACTGTTATTTCCAGGTGACTTGTTTTGATTATTTTTCAAGAAAGTTTAATTTTTTATCTAGATTTTCATATCAGAGAGGGTCATTATGACATTGTGAGAATTTCTACCCTAGATGTTAATTCTTTTAATGAATTGAAAGGAACTGGCCTGTCCCTGAGAAGTTCAACAATTCTCAAGTCAGCCATTTGCACAATAATATTGATTATGCTGATCATTCTTCACATTGCAAGAGTACTTCAAGGGAACAGTTCTGAAATCCTGCATAATAAATTGTATTTTCTAAGAACAACAAATACATCCAGAAGCCCAGTGCAGATGGCCCAGTGTGATTTCCTCTGCCCTTTCTCCCCTCCTGTTGAGCATGTCAAATGAGACACCCATGAAATGTGAACTGCTCCTTTGCGATTACAATCGGGTGAACAGCCGGCATCCGCCACCCAATCCTGAGAGGAACAGAGAATGTACCTACTCTGATGCGAATGTTTATTCGAAATCAATCTGCCTGGAAGCTTTAGTAGGAACAAATGGGGATTACTTGGCCAAGGTTCCAGTTTATAAAAGGCTTGCCTGTTTTATTTTCAAGGAAAACAGCAGTCAGAGCTGAAACCTTTCAGGAGCTTCATCATGTATTATGATTGCCTTTATGCAATGCCTTTTGATCGTAAGTACTTCTGAAGGGATTTCTGCTTAGTACCTCTTGGCCTATATCAGAGATAGATCCTTTACAAATCACCTGCTGTCTTTGCTATCTTGCAAGCCTATTTTGGCCAACAGAGTTACAGCATAGAAGAAGTTGTTCAAAGCAGAAGATTCTGCTCTTAGCGTAGAAAGCTTCTTGAGTGTCATAGTAGTTCTTTGAACCATGTGCTCTAGCCTTGCTTTTGGAAAAGAAATGTATGCACTGCTTTAGATTATATCTCAAAATCCAGAAGGAAATGAAAGGTAGCATCTTCAGAAAATAGAAAACAATTTTTTTATGACAATAACATCATTGAGGGTAGATGAATGCCGGAAACTCAATATCCTAATGTAATTGCAGATGCATAGAGAGAAGTAAGTTTGCTGTTCCAGAGACAGCTATATTCCTGCTTGCCTTTAGAAAAACATATGATTCCAGGGATGGATATAGAAAGGAAACATCTGGCAAATGAATAAAAACCACAAAAAATGAAGATAAAAAAAATATAGAACTTTGCTGGTGTAAGAGTAAGCAAGGTTTGGGTTGTTACTATTAGCATTGTTGCATCAAATGGCTTACTAAAAGTGTATTCAATCAAAGAGATGTCTAGGAGATCCAACTTTTCCAGATAACTTCTGCCCACCCAGAGAGTGCCTGCTGAAAGTCTCCTCCATTCTGGGGCATAGTTGGAGGGCATCTTCCCTCCCATGATATAGCCTAATGAAGGATGTTGATGATCCCAATCCTGTGACTTCCAGAGGCTTGTGAAATCCTGGCTTTTTTGGCGGGGGGAGGCTTTGAAGATTGATTGTTTGTGGAACAGTAGCCTGGTTTTTTTTTATTATTTCTATTAATCATTATTGATTATAGTTTGTCGCACAGTCAGCCAGATGTTCAGATTGGATTTGGCATTTTTATCTAATTGGATCCTATATATTGCCTGGAGTCCTTTTAGACTGATTCTTTTTTATTTAAATCCAATAAATAAATATATACAATAAAACTTTTAAGGAGCTCCTAAAATAGAGAGGAGAAGCATTTGCTTTATCACTACAAATATTGCACAACTTTTAAATATGAGACTATGTGATGAAGGAGCAATATAGTGATGGAAGTTATCTTCATTTCTGGGTAAATATATATGGATTGCTTTATTACAAAGAGTAATGACAGACTGCTGGGTATTATAACAGCTTCCCGCAAAAACATACTGGAGAGATCTCATATAGACTTTTCTCAATAAAGAACTATGCATTTGTAGCCTAAGACAATTGTAGTCTGAAAACTTTCTTAGAGATTACAGTATTCTTCTGAGAAAAATGAATTGCTACATTTGAATAAAATGATTTGTTCTCATTTTAGGAGCTGGCTGCTCTGTGTAATTGAATTGTCAATATGAACTGTCAATGAAAGCCAGCTTGGTGACTTTGAGCCAGTCACTCTCTCTCCGCCCAACTTACCTCAGAGGGTTGTTGTGGGAAAAATAGCTGAGGTGTGTTGGATATGTTCACCACCTTGAGTTATTTATAGAAATAATAAATATGGGATAAAAATAAATATATAATAACATAAAATAAAATATTTTAGTCCCAAAACTCTGGATAAGCAGTAGTTCATACATATGTAGTTATAGAATTATAGAGTTGAAGTAAGCCTTTTCGAAGACCAACCCAACCCAAATTAAAGCCTTCCCAAGTGTTATCAATCTAATCTCTTCTTGTTCTCCTTCAAAAGAGAGTCACTCTGCGTTTACAAGTAACTCAATTTGTTGGAGCAGTGCTGCTTCTAAAGAAGAGTAGTGTCAACATGGAATGGGACAACTCTGTGCGGCCAACTTGCTGCTGCCAGCTAACCACATCAGCTTGCCACGGCCAACTTGCTGTAGGATAGCTTGCCATGGCCAACTCATGGTGGGACAACTTGCGATGGGAGTTCAATTTAATTTTAATTTTTGTCATTCACATTTCATTTTTCTGTCCTTTTGCTTCCTTCCTTTAATGATTCTATTCTTTGATATTAGTGTAACTCTTGTCCCATGGCATGTCCTATTTCAAGTTGACTGCGGTAAGTTGTTCTGTGGCGAGTTGACCTATGCCCATGTTAGCCAGAGTTCAGCGTGGGAAAAGGGATCCTGGATCCCTTGTTAGAGTACAAAATATAATGAGGCAATAACTTGATATGTTGTAGCTCCTGGAATAGGAAAAGATGTTATATTAACTTTTCAGAGAGCTAGTGGGAGGGACAGAATAGGACTCCTATTAGTCACATGCCTCTAAGTGTTGAATGAATACTAAAATTGCTGGTTGTTCCATCACTTCAGAGAATGAATTCAGTTTTCTGCTCTTCCTTTTTTTTTTTTTTTTGAGATGTAATTGCAAAGTTGGGATTTTCTTGGAGAAGTTTGTCTAATATATATATTTCTATCTTTCAATAGAAGGCTCCATGAGGCCCAGCGACACCGTTTCAGAGTCCAGTCCAGGATCCACAGCTACACAGTCAGGAGTGCCGACTCAGGTGGTTCAGCAAGTCCAGGGCACTCAGCAGGTATGTAGCTCAACTGAGAGTCTTGCTATTAATGTGACATAGATATACTAAAGCAATCAGAGGAAGTCTGACTCAAGTTTCCAGATGCAATTCATAACAGTAAAAGAACATGAGATATTATGAGTAACAACAAAAGGCATATTGGGTAAGCTGGTCTCCAAAGTAGCTAAGAATAGGAGATTGTTTGTTTGTTTCTCTTGTAGCTTTTTGTTTCTTTAATAATCAAGGTGATAAAAATACAAAATATGAGCTACAGTAATAATAATACAATTGATATGAGAATTAATCACAGAAATAACAATTAAAAGCTGCTGAGGGAGTGACAGCCAAATGTATTTCCCTAGGGAGTATGCTCCATGTCTTGGGAGTCATACAGGAGAATTGTCAGTGTGAGTATCATATAATACCTATGGTTTTCACTGACAATAATTTACCTATTATATTTTGTACTAGTTGAAACCTATTCTTTTTAAGAATAGCTTGCATACAGCTCATTACACATGTCAAGCAAGTGTCTATTATTCTCTAGTTTTAATTGTTCTCTCTCATCCTTTCGAATATCAAAAGTAAGTAACGTACAAATGTACTGATTAATTCTTTGGAATCAGAAAAATAAGAGAAAATAGAGCTGGGTGTCAATAGCATACCGAGGACAGTAGAGAACTCCAGATAATCTCCCTAGCAATTACACGTAGATGGTGAACAGCATACAGGTAGTCCTTGACTTAACCATTCATTAATGATGGGCCAAGGTTACAATGGCCTTGGAAAGGGCCCTTTATAGCCTATAAAGTAATTCCAATCATCACGACATTGCCCCCCCCAATCATGTGATCAGTTTGGTTGCTTAACAACCAGCTCACATTTGCACCTGGCTGCATCATCATCTGATGTAGACCTTAAGCTAAAATGATTAGAACAGTCCAATACATATTTGAACAAAATTCCAGTTAAAATATATATTTGGTGTGTGTGTGTGTCTGTCTGTCTGCAGACACATGCACACATGCACATACAGCTACTGGTTTCTCAAACATTTTGTCTTAGAATGCAGTGATAAAGTTAGTTAGTTTCTAATTAATGAGACCTTCTGGATCAAAAAAGGCCTTTTTTCAGCAAAGGTCTTACAAAAGTCTATTAAGATAATAGTGACATGTACCATACTTAAAGAAGCATTAATCACCTTTCTTAACCATGGAACCAGTCCCAATCTGACACTGACTCTACTGGGTGGGGCAAAAATTAAGCATACACATGGTGGCCCCATAGCTATCTGCACATTACTTCCATATCATCAAGCTGAAAAGGATCTATATGAATCTGACAAGGTTATCTTCAGATGATTTGCCCCCAAATTCAAGTCTAAATCAAAATAACTCCATGACTTTGTCTGGAAAGAATTTTGAAGGTTGCTCATAGGGAGCCTCCATCAGTTCCAGCTTTCCTCTGTCCACATCTTGTTAGAATGTTAGAATGTTGTTAGAATGTTAGAGTGTTGGAAATAGAAAACATGGTTACTCTGTTCAGTGCAGATGATGTGGACACTGAGAAAAAGACCCTCTTTACTACATGCACTATTGCAGGGTGGATTTCAAATGGCCCTTAAAAGAAATTCTGCCTGTACTAAATTGTATAATCCAATTCATTATGAATTCCTCCTTCTGCACCTCGGCCTCTGCTTAAGTGTTTTGTGTTTTGTTCTTAATTATAAATGTCAAGGGAATCATGATTTCAAATTGAAAGTGGCATTTTTCTGAAATGCTTTTGCTTGTGCAACTGAGAAAAATGGGTTTTCACTCAGCTTGCCTCAGTATCGTGACATAACAAATACCAATATTTTACAGGTAGTCCTCAACTTACAACCATTCATTTAGTGACTGTTCAAAGTTACAACAGCACTGAAAAAAGTGTCTCACGATCGTTTTTCACACTTATGACCACTGCAGCATCCCCATGGTCATACGATTGAAATTTGGATGCTTGGCAACTGGTTCATATTTATGACAGTTGCAGAGTCCTGGGGCCATGTTATTACCTTTTGCAACCTTCTGACAAGCAAAGTCAATGGTGAAGCCATTAACACTGTGTTACTAACTTAACAGCTGCAATGATTCACTTAATAACTGTGGCAAGAAAGGTCATAAAATGGGACACACTCACTTAACAACTGTTTCAATTTAGCAACATAAATTTTGGGCTCAGTTGTAGTCATAAGTCGTGAAGTAACTATATTGGCTTTACTATATAATAAATTTACAAATTTCTGAGGAAGAAAAATAGTGAAAGTGATTAAGGCTAAAAGTCTTCTTTTTTAAATCCTGTTCTCTTATTTGCAGAGGTTATTGGTTCAAGCCAGTGTACAAACAAAACCTGGAACAGTATCTCCTCTGCAGCTTACAAGTGTGCAAGTTCCCCCACAGGTGAGTCTCATTTCTTTTACTGATGCTACTACAAACAGTTGGAAATGTGTTGAAGCATTCTCCTTTGTCCAGCAACCTGCCTGCTGGACAATATTCAAGTGCTTCATATATTGCTGTAAAAATGTGCTGTATGTATAGTTCTGTTTTGGGTATGAGATGTAGTTGCATTACGGTACTAGCTCAAGCTAACATGTTTATTGCAAGAAATGTCATGATTGCTTTGTGAAGATAGCTATGTAATAAAATACTTTTCACAGTCCACAAAATGCATATTAATTAGTTTATTTGATTAATACCTCATTTTTTTTCATATGAGAGGAAGACCAAGGCATATAATGCTGAAAGAGATTAACAAAGATTAAGAAAAGATTTAAAGTATGGTTAAGATGAATACATGAAGAAATAAATCCTAAATTATTTTATACAGATGAAAAAGTAGAGATGTCAAATATTAAAATCAGTTTCTTAAATCATGTTCATAATGGCAACCAGTTCAAGTTTTTCAACATTAGGATAATACTTTCCCTATATTTTGCATCAGGCTTATGACTGCTCCTTGAAGTTATGGCCATTACAAGTCCTTACAATCACGTGATCATGATTCAGGCACTTGGCAACTGGGTCGCATTTACAGCATTTGCATTGTCCCACGGTCATGATTGCTGTTTGCCACCTTCACAGCTGGCTTCCAAGAAGCAGAGTCAAGGGGTAGCTGGCAGCAAGTCATGGTCATGTGATTTGCTTAATGACTGTACCACTCAGGAGTTTCAGTGGAGGAAATGATAGCTATGTATCTCTGAACAATGGAGATGGTGCCAAGGCAGAAACAGCTGACTAGGTGACAAATATGGGCCAGCAGAGCTTTTCTGGGCAAGGCAAGACCAGGAGAATGCCCACTTGCGCTCTGGAAGGCAGCTCATTGTGAGGAGATGCACAGGACCCAAAAGGCAACTCATGAGTAGAACACCATGAGCTGTGAAAGAAATAATCAAGTTTACACCTTTGAATGGAGTCTGCTTAAAGTTACTGGGTTTGCCAAAATCTTCACCTTCTACTGCAAATTTAGAATCTATTAATTTTAAAAGTTATAGAGTCTGAGCAGTAGACCATCCTTCAACCCAGATGATATTAAAAATAAATAGAAGGATTTAAGCAAAAAGCTTATTAAGAGTTTGAAGTAAGAAAGCTTAAAACAAATTAAGAGGATAGTTGAGTTTGGAATATTATTTACTTTAAAGCATTTTTGAGTTTATTAAATAAATAATACATACATCAGAGGGAGGAAAGACCTTGTGTCCATTTGCTGATAGGGATGATTTGTTGGCTTCATTAAGCAAAATGATAAGGGAAAGTTATGAAAAATGATCTGATTGTAGATGTACAGATGCTGAATGGGACTAAAGGTGCCAAATATATAGAAAAAGGGGAAGAAGAATCTGTAATACAAATGAGAGGTTCAATAAATTAAAAATAAAATGGAAAATAAAACAGGAATAAGTCAAGAGATGGAAAAAAATTAGATAATGTGGTACCATGGGAATTAAGACAGAGAATTTTGTTTGAAACTCTTCCAGGGGACCCTGGTGAAGACATCAAAGAGAGTGTTGTTGAATCTTTTGACAAAAGTTTTGGAATGGGATGAAGAAGTCATGACTGCCTAAGTGGACAAAGTATATAGATTTAACAGAATATTTGCAGAATTAAGAAATGTATCAAGATATATAATTGTGCACTTTGTCTGGAAGAGTACAAGAGATCATGTTCTGCAACGTTTCAGGACTGAAATTGGGATTAATAATTAAGAAGTAATTGTGTTCAAAGATATATCTATCAATATCGTACAAAAATAATATACTTTTCAGCTGCTAAACAGAAAAATACAATTTTGTTGGGATGCCTGGAATGAGTAATTTTAACTTTTAAGCAGCAGACGTTCCAACTTACAAAAGGCAAGACTTTTTTGAAAGGTTTAAAGAGGAATTAGAGGAGATACAAATGGATCCAAAACAAGGAATTATGCAGCAAGTACAGCAAACACTTAGAAAATACATCATAAGCATGTTTTTAAAATACCTAACCTATAGAATATAAGTGGGGCAACTGCTGCCTCCAACAGAAAAAAAGTATTTCATTATTTTAAAAAGTTGAAATAAGATGTAATTTGCCTATATTTGGGGCTGCTTTGGATAAGCCTACATATTATTTTTATCAAGCTTGGTCTTGTTCACTGCCCTTTGGAAATGAGGAAAACAGATATAGTTGGGGCACTCTTTAAAGAACATTTTTCATGCATATGTATATAATATAGTGTCTTTATATGTACACAGGGGACAATTTGTTTGAGGCAAATAATAAAGCAGTTTTTGGCACAACCTACTGAATGTATGTTCAGGCCCAATGAACCAGTTAATCTTGCTTCTTAATGAATTGCTCAACTTATCATAGTTCTAAAGATAATCAGGCCTTTTTTATGCCAATTGTTTCAGCGACTCGTGGTACAGAATACACCACAAACTAGCAAAGGAGGATCAATAGCTTTGACTGTACATGGTGTGCAACAAGTCCACTCTTCACCTGAGGTGAGTGATCAATGATTCAGATTTTTCAGGTTTTGTGAAACATATATAGTATGTAGATGTCCTGTTTGCTGTGCATCAAAGAAACTGCAGTTTGGCCTTCACTGCCTTTTGGTGTTGCTTATCTTCACATCTGTCTTCCAATTCTGTCTTTCCCTTTCCCTGCCTACTTTTAGTTCCTTTACCTAGCTAGTCAATCCTAATTATGTTTCCATCTCACTGTTAATTAGACCAAAAACAAGTACATAGTTTATCATCCCAGCAATACTGTTAACTGTGGAAAAAAATCAACATATGTTAGCCACTTAAAAATCAAATAGTCTCTAAGGAAATATAACCAAATGAACAGCATGATTACAGTCCTTTTAATATGAAAAATAAGTTCTTTTTTTACCTACAATTGATGGACAGTAAAATGGTAGTTGCAGAATTTGATTGCATTAATTGTTTTTAAAGTATACATAAAGAATTTGTACTGCTTAATTTTTTGTCTGTTCCATTCTGTGACTAGCAGAGATCAGACAGAATAGGATAGATCCAAGCAGAAAGACTGCCTGATGAATTGAATAGAAGGTTCAATTTTTCCATGTAATTCCAAAAAAGTATTTCTGAATTCATGGGAAGGAGAATGTAGCACCTATTCAAAACACTTTAAAGCAGTTGTATGTTATCAAAAGGGAGAAAGATACCAAGAAAAACATGGTTGCTTTAGAAAACTGAAGACAGATACTGCATTTGTATCCTCTATATGCTCAGGAATACCTGAAGCACCATTTTGGAATTGAAATCAAAGTGCTTCAGAGTTACAATGAAAAGCACAGAAAACAAATTCAAGACTAAAGATCTAATAACTAGGCAACCGGAACAGAACTTGGATAGCTCCATGTGAATCCCAGTGGATGATGTCCCCCTACTGAGCGGAATGATATTTTGTTTGCTGTTTTTTAAGTTTTGTATGCTAGGGAAATAGAATTCTGCTGAATGTGGTTCCTTAGTTACTTTCCCAACCCCCCTCCATTGTTTTGTAAGTGTTAATATTATCAAAACCCTGTATTATCAAAAAGTCCTTTCCTGGGACTTTTCTGGTAATTTCTGAATCTATTCCCTCTCTAGGGAATAAGACGTAATGTGGTTTACAACTATGCTCTGCTGTGCTAACATTGCTCGTGCAGAATCAACACAAGCTCATTAGAGTTTGTATGCATTGAAGTACCAGTAATTTGTTGGCACAGAGCATAAATCAAGATGTTTTAGAAGCAGAAGAGAAAGAATTGTAATGATAAGGATTCCAGTAAATCAATAATTTGGCCTGGTACTTGTTCAGAGCCTCAGTGATCTTTGAAAGATTAGGGAGAGATTTGTCTGATTCCATTTTGGCCTAATAACAAATGGTGTTAATAAATAGTAAAAGTTCATTTTAAAAAATACTTTCTCCCGGGATAAGTAGCCAAGTATCTACTTGGCAAATTTAAACCACATATAGGTAGTTCTCAACCCACAACCATTTGTTCAGCAACTGTTCAAAATTACAATGGTGCTGAAAAAATGATGGTTACAACTGATCCTTATAGAGTTCCATCTCTCCTGGCACCCTTGCAGTCATATGATTGCAATCTGGGCACTTGGAAACCAGTTTACTGTTACATCTGGTTGTAGTGCTCCATAATCACGTGGTTGCAATTTACCAGCTTCCCCAGAAAGTCAATTGGGAAGCTGCAAGGAACATCACAAGTCTCACCCACCCATACATCCTCCCTCAGCCCCTTCACACTTGTACACTCATACACCCCACATACCCTATACTAGCCTTACCGCATCTCCCTCGCATACCTACACACCTTCACAATCCATGACCGTCCCTCCCTCATGCACCCTCTTCAACCTATGCCACACCTCTTGCATACCCCCTTGTGTACCTAACTCACACTGCACCTCCCACAGGCCCCATGCACCCATTCATACCTTCATGCATGCTCCCTTTTACCTCCCAATCAACAGGAGCCACTTACCTGCCTTCAAAGTTGGGGCTTGCAATTTCCTACTGGCTTCCTCACTGACTTTGGTTGTGGGAAGTAGGCAAGTGAAGTTGTGCCTCACTTTAATGACTGTGGGATTCAATTAACAATGGCAACCAGGACTGTAGGAATTCCCATTGTTAAGCAATGCAGATAGTTTATGACTGCTTACTAGTGGAAATTCCAGTCCCTATTGCTGTTGTAAAGACTATCTATATGTAATAGGTATGTTGTCTGTTGCAGTTGATCCTTTATGCATGACTCAAAAGAGGTATTTATGGCTGATAATTATATTTTAGGCTGTATAGAGCTGTTTCAGTCTTCTTTTTCTGAAATAATGTTAGTGGGGAGGGAAGGGAAAGGACGTCAGTATTTTGGTAGATAATTTCTCTTTGGTAGATGATGATTGTTTCTAAAATTGCCTAGAGGAACCATCTGGTATGGGATAGTATTTTGGGGATTATTGGCTATGCTGATCTTGCATGTTAATGTTAATGTAGTTTTGGATAATAATATAGTGCTGCCATTTTTCACTTCATTAATGAAAACAATTACTGAGAGTTTTGAAGGAACCCTAGTGCATTTTAAAAATTAGTTCACTATAAGCACAAATATTGTAAAAATAAAAAACAACAGCAACAAAAAGGCAAGATTTTTAAAAAACAAACTAAAGGATTGTTTTGGCAAAGAATGATGCATAAAGATAAATTCAGTATGATCCCAAAATCTGAAGTCAGTCCCCTAATATGGATAGTATCCAGGTTTATCCTGCTTTCATTGGTGGTCAATCTGTAAAAACAAATATGCAAAATTAATTCCATTGAACTTATTGAGATATATGACATAATTTGTTCCGATTTGAGCATAGTTTTTGAATTTTTCTTTCTCCTATTTCAACAAAAATCAATTCTACATTCTCGTTTTTACAAATTAAGCAATAAACTAGAAGAATTGCCCAGATCAATAGAAAGTGTTTTTGGAATTATTTCTATACTGCTTACTTCACTGATTTATTTATTAGTTTTTTTGTACTGTTTGTTTTAATTAATTGAATGTTGTTAAGTTGAGGTCATATTTTGTTGAGATTTTGGCTTAAAATAAGTTAATTGTGGACCTGCAAGAAAGGTTTGCTGCTGGATTCTAATTGCCCTCAGTCAAGGATTTTTCTGTATAGTTGATGTTCATTTCAAACCAACAATCAGCGTCTGAGATATAGAGATAATTCAGGTTATGGAAATGATCATGCCTAAGCTTTCAGTTTGCAGAGCTCAGCTTGGTTTATGAGCTACGACAGTGAAACAGGAGGGAAGATTATTATGTTCGTCGACGTAAATTATTTATGAAAGTACTAAAGGCAGGATATAAATAAATACTAAGTAAATAAAAAATAAAATGTGAGGGAAAAACTCAGGCCAGTCAAACACAAGTAATAGCATATTATTGAGCCCATTTTATGGCAATGATAGTGTTGAAAGAATGATAGTTCTATAGCACTGTTTTGTTCATAGGTTACAGGTTTGCTTGGGGCTAATTTTAGCTTGTCCCACACAGTGACATCAGAATGTTTGAAAGCTGCTGTGACATAATTGTTTAATACTTTGTGGATAAATCTGTTTATATCTGTTTCAGCATTAAGAGTTCATTAGTTTGCAGATCAGTCTCTGTCAGGAATAATTTCTATCTTTTGTTATGACATGAATTTCAGTTATTGTAGTCTTATAACAAAAAAATCTTGAAAAGACCTAACCTATCATTTGATTTATTCAACTTCATCCTTCAGTCTCCTTCGTTGCTTCTTCCATATCATACCATCCAAGAGGAGATTCTTGCTTTGAAGGAAGTGACTGTGATGTAATGAAGATGTTCTTTCGGGTTCTTAGGTTGTCTGATTGAAGTTAGACACTATAACTTTCCTCCTCACTTCATATACATATTTTTGAGCCATTGGAGTTAATTTAATTATTTATTCATCAAATTTATATAACTGCCCATCTTGCAAAAGTAATCTTGCAGTGTACAATAAAATAAAGAATTAGAGACAAGTATAAATTACCATTAAACACAATTAAACATTAATATAAATAAGGCCACAGGAGAGTGATCCAACATCTTGTACACAATATAACTGTCTTGTAGGTCCTCTATTTCCATGGGATTCCCAAGGCTGCTGGAAAATCTATTTTTAAAGAAATTTTTAGAAAGCTAATAGAATCAGAGCTTGTAATATATGTTTGGTTATTTTGAAAGAGCTTCTTAGATTTTTGATTGGTGACAGCTCTAATTTTCTTGACAGAATCATGAAATCTCTATGTTAGCTCTTGTTAATGACATTCAGTTTAGTAATCTTGTATTCTATTGGTCCTGAAACATTTGTAGTTTAAAACTGAAAGTCAGTTTATCAACTGTTTTTTGTGTAGGACTGTTTTAAACAGTTCAGGACTATTCCATTTTTATCTGAAGTAAATCACATAAGAACAATAATTAGAAGTTGAGACTTATCTGGGACTACCAAAAATGTTTATTCTTTGATGTCAAAATCCACCCCTCCAGACTTATAGAAAAAGTACTTGAAAAATGGAAGGTTGATATTCAGTTCTCTCCATGCCTGCTTTTTTCAATTTAAAAAACAACAACACTTTAAAAAAACTGGATCTGTAAAAATTATTCCCAGAAAGGGAATATTTCCAACCTGGAAGAACCTTACTGATTTCTAGCTAAGATCAAGCGAGTATGAATTGTAAAATATATAACAAAATCCATCATGCAGTTGTGCGTTTGTCCTATACCCAGAGAGGGTAAAGTGCTCCTCCTTGCCTTTCAGCATTCCCCTGTCCAGAACAGTAACTCTGCCGCTAAACCAGGACAAGTACAGCAGCTCCAGGTCCACGGAGTCCAGCAAGTGCCTGTTGCACAAGAGGTGCTGTATTTTTGCTTGCATCAGACTTGTAGTCCTCCCCAATTTCAGTCATTGCTTTTTGAATGACAAGAATTCAAGCCTAATAAGGTGTTACCCTGGATTCTTAAATTGTTGCCCGCTAACAATTTCTAAGCATCCTTGGAAATCTTCAGGCCACCTTTCAGTTGATATTTCAGTGCATGTAACTCAGAACTTAATAACACTTTCCTTTCACCAACTCTCAGATTTGTGTAAGTCCTAAAAACAAGCATGTAAGCATCTACTGTGGCCCATTCCTGTTTCATGTCCACTTCTCCCAATGGCAAATTGTATGTGTTTTATATGTGTTTCACAGCTAATAAAAATGTTTTTGTGAAACATTTTGTTGTTTTGCTTGTTGAACCATAATATCCTAAAAATAATATCTGTATTTTTAAGAACCAAAGTTGTCCATGTGAGGGGTGGGGGGAATAGCTTTGTTATTTAAAATTAATTGCATTTTATTGAATGCATAATGCATGCCCAAACAAAAGCAACACATTTAAAGGCATTTTTCTGAAAATAATAATTTTGTAATTTCTTTTTTTAAATTGCAGATTGTTCTTCATTATAATGTGTTTTTGTTTAAGTCTTCAAAAATAAAGCCCTGCAGAATTCCAAAGACCATTCTCTCACAGTACCACATTCTAGAATACAAATTTTCTTATGCTGCTTTGTGTAGTTAATCCAGACCAAAAAGAAATGGCCTCTCTGATTTAGGAACTTACTCTAGATCTAGTTTTCCATAGGGATCAAATCCTGAATTACTTTACAGTCAGATTATTTGGCATATAATAAATAGCCATCTAATAATGTTTCAAAAATCCCTCTGCAGAGTCTAGGTGACAAATACTAGCCAGAGGAACTTGCACAATTTTTTCATGATAAAAAAATTAATTTTCTCCTCTTTTACTAAAGTTAAAATATTTTCTACAGTTGGGTCAAGCATTCTACAATGGGATATATCATTACTCTTTCTTCTGGAGGCAGAGCTAGTAGATTCTGATATGCTTCTCAGGAGAGGAGATAATTTCAATCTTGGTTTTGAACTCTACCTTGTTTTGGAGAGAATGCAGGTCTGTCAACTGCACTAGCCATCTATGCAACTAAGGTTCCATTAGTAGCCAGAGTTTTCTTGCTTCTTTCTGTTTTAGTTCCTTGTCTTATACTATATTTACCTAGAAATTAGAATGAGAAGACCAATAATCACTAAACTCATGGAACTTGCTGCCTGTGGGCATGTACAGAACTGCTTTGTTGGCTTGAATTAAGCAAGAGGGCTGGCTGTCATTGCATGAACCTCTGAGCTGCCGACCACAAATGCATGTTGCTTGTAGCCTCAGGAGGTCAAGTCAGAAGAATCGGATAGCCTGGGCATCCGAAAGGAAGGAAATGAATAACTACCCAATTCTTCTCTGTTCTTCACAGAAGGAACAAGGATGCTTTAATGGCTCAACTGCCAAATAATAACATAGCTATGAGGGCTCCATACTTTTTGAATACTGAAGATTCCTGATAATAATTTGATAATAATCAGGTGGTCACTAGTTAGGCTGTAGACTTGCCATCTCTGGTCTTTCTCCTCCTGGGGTTGAGATGAATACCCCATATTGGGATTGGTCCAGAAAAGGGGAACAACGGGGGAAACAAAGGCACTTTTTCCAAAAAGCAAGTGAACTTTCTTGGTTTTGTCTTTAAAAACATTTTATTTCTCATCCAAGAAGCTTCTTCAGTTCTGAATAAACAATGGGGAATGGAAGGATTTATATTCTTTGCAGTCATCTTTAAAGAATGTCCGCAAAGAATATAAATCCTTCTATTCCCCACCAGTCAGTGAGAACTGAAGAAGCTTCTTGGATGTGAAGCAAAATGTTTTCAAAGAATAAAAGCAAGAAAGTCCACTTGCCTTTTGGAGAAAGCACCTTTGAGACAACCATGACATGGAGGTTTGAGAATCTCCATAGACAAAGAGGGGTAATGTAGTAGCAATTCTCCATCTCCCATCCTCCTTTTTTTCTTTATATTTCTACACCTCCACTGCAAGGGTAAAACATAGGCTAAATCCACAGATACGCTACCAAAGCAAGAGAGCCACCAGATTTCCCACCCATGGGACATACAAATCAGATACCACTCCCAACACAAGTCAGACAGGGAGGAGTTGTCGTTGTCCCTAGATCAGGAAGTTTATCACTATTCAGGTTTTCCAGAAGTCAGAAATTCCAGAACTATTCAGAACTGAAGCCTGAAATAATCAGATCTGTGCTCCCAAGGATCACCCACTAGATCTATGCAAGTAGCAAGCATCCCCTCCTCATGTTTCCCTTTCCGTAAGACCTTTAACAAAATCCCCAAGGCATCTTCAAGGCGCAGTTGGATGAGAGGGGGAGTCACTGGCTACACCTTCCAAATAAGCAGCCCTAAGCCTCCTCAAGATGCTTTTTACTTGATATTCCCATGGCAGTTCTTGTCTCATGACCCAGAATAAAGAAAGGGAAAATACCCCCAAACACTTGGAGAATAGAAGAATAGAGTTTCTGTGGTGCAGATCACAAAAAGCTGTAGCTTTAGCTGTAAGGGTCTTCTTTGCCACAACCATCTTCTCTAGAATCTCAATCTTAGCTCACTCCCCCTCTAAGAAAATAAGGAGTTTAGGGCATGAAATTCATGTTGGATATTAACTATTCTTCATATATATGGCATCTCTTCAGCATCCCCAATAGCCCAAAGAACCCAGAAGGGATCCCATGAGAGTTATGAATTCTCAGAAGTCCTATTTAATGGCAAGGGCATATGCCCCCTCACCAAGTCTAGTTCACTACAGATGTCAATCCAGTTCACTACAAACCTCAGCCTAGTAGTCCAGGGATAGATGGAAGAGGAAGCCCAAAGCAACATAAATTTCCACACCTAGTTCTGAGCATGCTCCAGGCTTTCTTAAAAAGCCAGGAAGCTCTTAACAGATATTATGGGACTAAAGTAAACATCTGGAGAAAGGGAGTTAGCAATAAAGGGAGAAGAGGTAGCCAAACTCTTATGCTAGGTCAAGAAAAATGTAGCATATCTCATGGCAAAATACACCTAGGGAATCCACAACTCAACAGCAGACTTGTTCAGCCATGAAGACTTGAACCTTACCAAATTACAGTTTCAGTACCAAGATGTTTGAACAAATAGTTTCAATACTTTGTGTGTGGGGGGGGGGGGGGGGAGCAGCAATAGATGCCCTAGCAAATCTAGTGATTCAAAAGATGGAGCAGTTTATCTCACACTTGCCAAACTAGGGAGCAGGGGTAACAAATTTCTTTTTTACCTCTTGGTCCAAAGGCTTACTGTATGTCTTCCACCAATTTCTGCAAATGCCTGGGCTCCTGAAACTGATATGAAGCTTCTAATTGCCTAGCCTGTCTTACTATTCAAACTTAGTCAACCTCTCAACATCCCAGGCATGGATCCTGTTGGCCTCACCTAATTTACTAACCTAGGATTAGGATAGAGGATTTAATTTCCCAGATGCCAGCTGAATGGAGATTCTCAGTCATCCAGGTCATAGTTGTCTCAAAGGTACTTTTTCAAAAGGCAACTGGACTGGTTTTTGAGGGAAAAAAAGAAAATGTTTTGCTTCCAGTCACAATTGAGGAAACTTCTTGGATGAGAAGTGAAACGTTGTCTTCTTCTTTCTTAAAAAACAATACAGATGCTTTTTGAAAAAGCACCGTTGAGACAGATTCCAGCTCCTTACAACTATAGACCTGGAGACTGAACTGGGCTAACTTGCCATCCCAGGATTTAAAAACACAACTATTAAAGGTAATCCTTGACTTACAGCTACAATTGGAACCAGAATGCCTGTTGCTAAGTGATGTGGCTGTTAAATGAGCCGCACCTGATTTTATTATCTTTATTACTACATGTATTGCTACATTTCTTGTTAAGTGAATCACTGTGGTTGTTAAGCGAACCATGAAGTCATTAAGTGAATCCATGTTTTTTATTGACTTTGCTAATTGGAAGCCCCGTGGAAAGTCGCAAATGGCCGTAGGATGCTGCAACCATCGTAAATATATGTGGGTGGTCAAGCACTCAAATTTTGATCATGTGACTAAAAAGATGTTGCAATGGTCATAAGTAAAATGACTGATTGTAACTTACTTTTTTCAGTGTCACCATAACTTCAAATGGTTATTAAATGAATGGTTGTAAGTCAAGGACTAGCTATAATTCTAAAGAGGTTGCGCACTCTTATATATGTACTCACATGCCAGGTTTTCTGAAGACAGCCTAAGGAAGAGAATCTCATCAACATCAGCCTCTATCACTCAAGTCCTCATCTTTTTACCAAAAGATTTCAGAGATGGACTATAATCAAGCTATCTCTACCGACTGGTGTCATAGTAGTAACTGTGAGAGGGATCTTGGAGTCCCAGTGGACAATCACTTAAATATGAGCTAGCAGTGTACTGCAGCTGCCAAAAAAGCCAACACAGTTCTAGGCTGCATTAACAGAGGGATAGAATCAAAATCATGGGAAGTGTTAATACCACTTTATAATGCCTCGGTAAGACCACACTTAGAATACTGCATCCAGTTTTGGTTGCCCCAATGTGAAAATGATGTTGAGACTCTAGAAAGTGTGCAAAGAAGAGCAATTATTAGGGGGCTGGAGGCTAAAACAAATGAAGAACGGTTGGAATTGGGTATGTCTAATTTAATGAAAAGAAGGACTAAGAGTGACACGATACCTCAGGGGTTGCCACAAAGAAGAGGGAGTCAAGCTATTCTCCAAAGCACCTGAAGGCAGAACAAGAAGCAATGGATGGAAACTAATCAAGGAGAGAAGCAGCCTAGAACTAAGGAGAAATTTCCTAACAGTTAGAACAACTTGCCTCCAGAAATTGTGAATGCTCCAACACTGGAAGTTTTTAAGAAGAGATTGGACAACAATTTGACTGAAATGGTATAGGGTTTCCTGCCTGAACAGGGGGTTGGACTAGAAGACCTCCAAGGTCTCTTCCAACTATGTTATTCTGTTATTCAAACCAAAGCACACTCCTCACTCCTGATACCAGTAATGAAGATGTCCATCTTCACATCAAGAAATTCCGAAGGAAAGACTCATTGACAATACTATTTATGATCTACCAGAATCTGTCATGGAACATCCAGTTAGTTTTTCCAGCCCTAATATGAACACTATTCAAGCCCATACACAAAGTAGCCATTAAACACTTAAAGTGGGGAGGGCATTTATAATTGCCTAGAAATAGGTTCATTGTTAGTCAAGAAAGAATACTGTATCATCCATTCCTCAATGCCTAAACCCAACCTTTATTCTCAAGGTCAGTTTTGTCTTCCACTGGAACTTCCTTCTGCCCTAGCTACAAAACCCAACTAGAGGAACATTGGCACAAACTATCTCAAATGGAGTTATCAAGCTCTAGCTGAGAAGGAGTTCAGAGTCTCTGACCTTGTAATATTCCATCTTGACTGCACCAACTGTAGACTGATGAATCCCGTTTGCACCAAATAAGCATAAGAGATTCAGAATAATCCTGCGCCACAGGGAAGAACAATTTATTCCACTAGAAAAGTAATCATTTTATTCACTTTCAACAGACATGTAGGATTGCTATATGATCTTCTGTGATTTAACTCCTCGGTGCAGAAAACTCTTCTGAGCAAAAATTACGGGCCTTCCAGATGTAAACCACCTCCAGGATTTATTCCCACTGTAGAATGACCTGGTTTTACTGTAGAAAAATGGTTCATTTCAAGTTTTCATGAAGGTCCTTTTTCTACACTGGAAACAGGATATTGAACCCACCCAGAGATTCACACGCAGAGAAACTTGCGAACAAATTACCAGGACCCTAATACATTTGAGCAATTTCTCAGCTACATCTTTACCTTACTCTTACTTTTTAAAAATGTCCTTCTTTTGAGCTTTCTTCTGGATTGTTACTCTAGTACTGGGGGGTAGAATTAGTTTCTCCAAAAGGAAGCATGTTAGAATCTAACTCTGCTTCCTGAACAAGTGAGAGGGACTGTTGTAGAATGCCCTATCACTAGTTTAGAAAAAGGACATTCATGGAAAATCTAATGAATCATTCTAGGTCTTAGTATCTGCTCATACGTGGGTATGTGCATGTATATGGCCATGCACACTAGAGTCAGTTTTTGATTCCTTGTGACTGCCTGGGCTAGTCCCTGCAGTTTTCTTGCCAAAGTTTTTGAGAATTGAAAACTTTTCTCCTTCCTAGGGTTGAGAGAGCGGGACTGACCCAAGGTTATCCAACTGGCTTCATGTCTAAGTAGGAGTAGAACTAATGGTCTCCCAGTTTCTAGCCAGATGCCTAAGCCATTAGACCAAACTAGATCCCAAAGTACACTAATGGACTCTGGTGTATTTCATTCCACAGAGATCTGTTGTGCAGACAACTCCCACAACTCCCAAAGCAGGTACAGTGCAACAACTGGCAGTGCAAGGGCTCCAGCAGGTTCATGTTACTCAAGAGGTAAGTGTTTGTCTTCTGCTCTTGGGTTGGCCTGCATTTCCGTTTCTTGTATCCTGTAGCCATGGAAACTTTCTGCCCTCTGAGCTAGGTAACTAATGTCAGAAATGTTAAAGCCCTGTCTTTAATCCTCCTGCCAAAATACTCCCCTTATTTCATTCAAGTGATCCAGGATCAGTCTACCCCTGTCCTCCATCTTTCTCTTGTGGATGTGGTTTGTAGCCATCCAGAGATTTCTGCCACTGACCACTCGCCCAAATAGTGAAGTGGGGAAAGACCCTGAGCTATGACAGTTTCTTGGTCTGAAGATCCCTTTTGCTTTATAGAATATAGAATAGCCAGAGTACTGGGACCTTCTGTCCTCAGTCTCAACCTTTACATTCTTGTTTCTTTTTCCTTTAGCTCTGATTGCTTTAGTCTTTCTGTTTATTGTCTAGAATGCAGACAGTGGTCCTTCTAAGAGCAGTCAGCAGGAGCAGCAGCAGGAGCAACAAGGAGTACAGCAAAGCCTCTCCCTAGAATGCAACAGCAGCAGCAGCAGCAGTGCACCCCAGCTGACCAGCTGCTGTTTACCTGGCCCGGAGCACAGGCTCCACTACATGCACTCACTAGATTCTGCCTCGGAGCAGTGGGTGGAGCTGGTCCGCATGCTTCCTCAGCCACTCCTCTTGCCACAACAGAAGGTGGTGATAGAGCAGCTACCATTCCTCTCCTCTCATCACTCCAGCCCTGATCAGAGAGTCAAGATTCAGAGAGTCCCTCAGGTGCTAGTGTTTGGAACAGCAGCTACAGCACTTAAAGTAGGTCCAGCAAAGGGCAATAACCGAGATCCAAGAATAGCAAGCCCTGTGCACACCACTTCTTAAGCAACAGAAAACAGAGCAAACTAGTATTCCCTTCTCTGTGCCTCCAAAGGAATCTCGTCTTAATCATTGGTGGTGGTCAAATGGCAATTTCCCCTTCTCCCATACCCTGCCAGAGGAGTTGAAATTCTTGGACCTCTTTAGATTTAGAGTTGATTTTGCTTTATATAAATAAGGGGTAAATATAGGAATCTTAAGGGGTGTGTGAGAAAGAATTGTTAGAAACGTGATGGCCTAGGGAAAGGGGAGAAAGCCCTAGGGGTTTTCCTAATTTATTCATTTCCGGCTTTCACATCTTTATGTGAAACTACCTTTAAGCCACCATAAGCCACTGACACAGTGGTCAGAATGCAGTATTTCAGGTTGAATCTGCCCACTGCCAGCAGTTCGATTCTCACCAGCTCAAGGTTGACTCAGCCTTCAATCCTTCCAAGGTCGGTAAAATGAGGACCCAGATCGTTGGGGGCAAAAGGCTGACTCTAAACCACTTAAAGAGTGCTATGAAGCAGTATATGTTTAAGTGCTATTGCTATTTATGGGTAATATATAGCCTGTCTTTAAACAAATTTCGTTTTGGTGGACATGGAACTTAAAATATAAGTTTTAATAGTTAGTCAGGATTTCAGCCTGGGTTTGTGAACAAGGTTCAGTCTAAGAAAGAGGAATACTGAAATACTAATCATAAAAAATACTTTCTTATAATTAAAAAATCACCGGACATCTTTGTAAAGGGTCATTTTGCACATGATGGAGGGGTAAACCTAGTATAAACAACTGCAGTCAACTATAGTTCTGAATAATTGTATGGTGTATTGTTATTGTAGTTGCAATACTTCTAAGAGTACTTGCATTTTTTACTATAGCTCTGTGCTTTGACGTGTGGGAAAATTTACTTTGCCTTGCATTCCTTTCTTAATGATTGTAATGCTGAACTTATTTTGTCTAATCAGAGAACCTGCAGTGTCTTTCATTTACACAAAGAATTCTTATTCCATAGAAATTCTGGGGTGAGGATTAGCCTTTGATCAGAGAATCCATGATAACTGAATGTCAGATACAGGATAAAAGCAATGAACATATGTGGAAGAAAAAAGAATTCTGGGAGCCCAGTCGTGCTTTAGGGAAGTCTGTTGCGAGGGGAAAGAGGGAGAGGGACAGTAAACACGGCCTTACTTCTTAATCTCAGTTTGCTTTTGCTTTTCTTTCCGCTGCTTATGTGCTCAGGTCCAGCAGCTTCAGCAGGTTCCTGTGCAGCATGTCTATCCTAATCAGGTTCAGTATGTGGAAGGAGGAGATGCCAGCTACACAGCAAGTACCATGTGAGTATAAAGAAGTCAGGCTTCTCCTGCCTATGCTATCCTGAAGCCTGAGCCTAATAATTCAATTGGTCAGATTCAGGGTGCCAAAACCACTGTTCCAAAAAATGGCACGCTATAGTTTTTCATACAATAGCAAAATGTTTCCACGTTTGTCTAAACCAACAGATTCCATATTATTTCTAAACCATAGAGATAATCACTATTCCAACAAAAGCTGGAACTGAAACTATTTCAAGAAAGAATCTTATGCTACCTTAAACATCAACTGATTTATTGTGCCCCAGTTGTATCCGATAGGCTGGGGTAGGATGGGATAGGAGTGCCCTTTACATGTCAGAGAAAACTTGGCAGGAACAGGATGCCTGATATGTGATTATTTTTACAGAAACTTTTAAAATAATAAATCTATTGCCAGTGGATCCTGCTTCTTGAACTTTCCTCCTCTGTGTCTGTCATACAATTCTGGATCTATGTAGTTGATGTTTTCTCCTCTAGATTGCTGTTTTTCCCCTAATGTGCTTATTTGACTGTGTTTCTTCCATTTCAGACGCTCCAACACGTACCCTTACACAGAAACCCCTCTCTATACTCAAAACACTGGAGCGAATTACTATGAATCCCAAAACACCCCAACGCAGGTCTCCAGTCCAGCAACCTCACAAACAGTGGCCAGCAGTGGCTCTGTACCTATGTATGTTTCTGGAGGACAAATCATAGCCAATCCAAATGGAAGCAGCAGTACAGCAGCAGCAGCAGCAGCAACAGCAGGGGGAGGAGGAGGAGCACCAGCAGCAACAGGAAATGGTGCTGGTGGTGGCAGCACTGCTGGAGGAGGTGGTGGTGGTGGTGGAGGAGGAGGAGGAGGAGGAGGAGCTGGTGGCAGCAGCAGCACAGGGACCTATGTGATTCAAGGAGGTTACATGCTGGGAAGTTCAAGCCAGTCCTATTCTCATACCACCCGTGCCTCACCTGCAACAGTAAGTTTTCAACTGAAATATTTGCTTGTTGATTCAAAGGAACTGGAAGCTTCTTTTCTTGCTGTCAGTGCCACTAGTCTTATTAATGAAGTGATTATCTATGCCTATATTTTGGAAAAGCAATGTTTTGTGGACAGACTGCTCTAAAAGACAGCTTAGTGTACTTGTTTTACTAGTCTCTCTGAAAAAGATGCAACTGTAAGAGTGTTGGACTATTGTTAGGTTACACCCTCAACTCCCAAAAAGAATAAGCTATCCAGAGTCATTCAGGTGAGATGAGTGGCCATACAAATTGAATAAATAAATGAATGGACACTGTTATGGATAGCACATTATGCTAACTGAGTATATATTTTGAATATACTCCAAAAGTTTACCTACAATCGCTCACTAACTTGAGATTTTAGTAGCTTAATTTTTTTTAAAAAAATTGTTTCCTCAAAATCAAAGATAATTTTTAACTCCTCAAAGTTAATTTCCTCACAAAACCCCAATAAATGGTCTAAAACCACAGTTTTTCTACCTGATTTAAACCCTCTGGCAATTTCTCATAAGATTTCTTATGGTGAAGGGGATTCCGGTTTTCTATGTTATTCTCAATGAATTTCTTTGAATTTTATTTTTGGAGGTAATGGAAGGTACTGCTTCTGTTGGTAGGTTTTTCTGCTGCTTTTTTCTGCTTTTTTTCAGTTCTGTGGTTATCTTGGGAGTTCATTAATGGTGTCTCCCTTTGGGAGACTTTACTTTACAACAAGGGTATCAAACTCAATTTCACTGAGTGCCACATCAGGATTGTGGTAAATACAGGGGGCGGGGGGAAGCGTGGCGTGGCCAGCTCTACTGCTGCTGAATTTGTTCTCCTTGGCCAGGTTGCTCATGTTGTGTGCGGGAGGGTAAAGTGTGTGAATCAGAGGGAGGCCCACAAGGAGACCTGGCTTTGAAACCAAAACATCCTCAGTGATAGGATGGGAGACCACCTGCAGTGCTTCCTTGTTCAGTTGAAGGCTTCCTTCAGCCTTCAAACAGTAAGGCTGGACCACGAAACTGAGCAGCACACCAGGGCAATGGACAGCGCCCAGCCAATTCCGATTCCATGGGTGGCCTTACTGTTTGAAGGCTGAACGAAGCCTTCAACTGAGCAAGGAAGCACTGTGGGACCAGGCCCTTCACACCCACGTCCAGCCCGCCAGAGTTCGCTGCGCCAGGGCAGGAATGAGAACCTGTCCCGTGGAGCCTGCGCTGCTTGAGTGGGGAGGACGAGGAGAAAAACGGCTGCTCAGTTGACTCTTCCACCCACCCGCTGCTGCCAGCAGTTTGAATGCCCTGACTGAAGCAGGGATCGCACGCTTTCTCTCTCATACACACACACACACACACACACACACACACACACACACACACACAGCGCATTTGGAGAGGCTCCCCCGTCTCTGTCTCGCTGTGACGGCAGTTGCGGCGCTTCAGTGCCTGGCTGGGAGGGCACTCAGGTAAGCTGGTGCGGGGCATGGCAGTGCAGCTCCACACACACCTGCCTTGCTTTGTACTCCACCACCCCCTACCTCGCTGCTCAGGTGGCTCCTGTCGCCCATGCCGCTGCCAGCAGCTTGGGTGCCCTGACTGAAGCAGGGATCGCATGCTCTCTCTCTCATACATACACACACACAGTTTGGAGAGGCCCCCTCCTCTCTGTCTCTGTCTCGCTGAGGCGGCAGTTGCGGCGCTTCAGTGCCTGGATAGCAGGGCGCTCAGGTATGCCAGTGCGGGACATGGGGGGGCACCTCTGCACTACCTCACCTTGCTTTGTACTCCACTCCTCCGCCTCACTTTGTGGCTTTCGCACCAGTGCATTGCTCAGCCTCCTGCTAGGTTATGGTGGCTAGCAAGGAGAAGAAGTGGCGAAGAACGAAACGAGGCAGGGGGTAGAGGAAGAAGCAAGGCAGGGGGTACAAAGCTGCCCCACCCGCCCACTCCGCCCCAGCTTACATGAGGTCCCTTCAGCCAGGCCAAACTCTCACACACAAACCCTGCCACCCAGGGCAGCCACATCCCTTCACTAACCTTGCCAGCTCCTTTTGCCACTGCCACGTGCAGAGCAACTAAAGTAATCTGTGGGACTACGATAAAAAAAATAGTTCAGACCTTCCAACTTCTCACGAAAAAAAAAAATCTTGCAAGGTTGGAAGGTTTGAACTGTTTTTTTACCGTAGTCCCACAGACTAGTTGCTCTGCATGTAGCGATGGTGTTCTGACCAAGGCTTCCTGCGACAGTAACAATCACACACTTAGTCCCAAAAACCTTCTTTTTATTTCTGTTAATTATTCTGTTATTACGGCTGTTAATTATGTTCATTCACAACCCGTAATGAGTCCCAAGCAGTTTGTAAATAGTCCGACAGAAGTCTGCCACAGTCTTTCAGGATAAGATTGATAAGCACCCACCTTTAACTCCCTTGAAATGCTGCCAAAGACCTAATTGCCAATTAGCTGTGCAAGGCCAAATGGAGCACAAAGTCAAAACGGAGCTTCAGAGTTTAAACCAACCAGAACGAACAAAGTTGCTTCCTGCAAAAGCTCATGTCCCTTTGCTCCACCTTTATGCCTTATGGGAAGGGCCAATCATCTCCAAGCCTTACTCCTGAGTTGCCCCTTTTGTCTTAACTGTTCTTGCCTTCTGGCAGTTCTGCGCTCCCCCTGTTCCTCTGCCTTGCTGATGTCAGACTCTGGAGGCTCCGGAGTCAGCACATAACTCCCAGATGGCCCTGGCTCCATCTCTGCCTCCAATGCAGAGCCCCCGTCCAAGCCTTCCCCAGACTCCAGGATTGGCCCATGTTCCTCCCCAGCCTCCTAACTGTCTGACCCTGCTGCCAGCTCCGCAGGCTGCCGGCGGACCACAGCAGATGGAGAACTGGGCCCGTGCCTGTGTACGTCTGCTGGGATGGCGGAGGCCAGGCCAAAGTGACATGGGATGGACCCTTACAGTTTCCAGGATGGCCACGCAGGCTGGATTCAGCCTCATTGTGGGCCGGATCCGGCCTGGGGGCCTTGAGTTTGACACCCCTGCTATACAACAACCAAAGTTACAACAGCCAAAGATTCTGAATCTGTTTTTAATCTCCCAATGTATTCTTGGGGGAAGCAAGATAACACAATAAGAATACGGGTAACATTTTTGTGTTTGCTGATTATAGCTCAGATTTCATGCATTTTTCTTTTAGACTACAAGGGGAACATGATGAATCAATTGTTAAAATTAGTTTTTTGCCTAATTTTCATTATATAAGAATTTAAAAGTATCTTGCATAAGAATTGAAAAGTATCCCAAAGGTACTTTTTTCTTTTGTTTTCTTTTTTCTTTCCAAAAGGTAACTGGACTTTCTTGGTTTTTTCTTTTGAAAACATTTCACTTCTCTTCCAAGAAGCTTCTTCAATTCTAGCTAACTGTTGGGGAAAGGATTCATATAGCTGTCTAGTGCTAATGACTGGATGGCTTCAAAGAATATAAATATAACACCTTCCATTCTCCACCAGTTAGAACTGAAGAAGCTTCTTGGATGAAAAGCAAAATGCTTTCAAAGGGAAAAAACTTAAGAAAGTCCAGTTGCCTTTTGAGAAAAAAAAGCACCTTTGGGACAACAATGACCTGGATGATTGAGAATCTCCATAAAATTGAAAATATATAAAATGCTTACTCTCTTCTCTGTCTGCCTCTCTTTAGAACCATTATAATTCATAAATCTCTTCATGTTGATTTCCCAAATGACATTGATTAAATACTTCAGTGAGCATAGAAAGAAAATATCCAAATCTATCAACATGCATAGAAAGACAAATATACTAAAACATACTCAAAAAGAGCAAGGAACAGTAGTACAGACAGGCAAAATGCAAGTTATTTTGATGGAAATAAAAAGTTTGTTTTGGAAGTGAGTGGATAGCAGATCAAAATAAAAGTAATAAAAATTTCAGCTGAAACTGAAAGAATATTGAGAAAAGTTATTTGGGATTAGTCAGAATTGGCAAGGGTGGTGGAGTTCAGGGTGTAGGAATGCAGGGCAGCTGAAAGGGCAGAAATGGGGGGGGCAGTGGTGAGAGTTGAAGCAGGAAACGTTAAAGGCTTGGGAGGCAACTTGAAGGACCTGTGAATTGCACTCCTGTTGCTTTGTAGGTTCAGTGGCTGTTGGATAACTATGAGACTGCTGAGGGTGTGAGCCTTCCTCGCAGTACCTTGTACTGCCATTACCTCCTGCATTGTCAGGAGCAAAAACTGGAGCCAGTTAATGCAGCATCTTTTGGAAAGCTGATCCGCTCAGTATTTATGGGACTCCGAACTCGCCGGCTTGGAACCAGGTAAAAAGATGGAAAGTTGTGTAACCAGCATGACTTCCCCATAGAATGTGTTAAATTTGTGCTTCTGTTTTTACACTGGCAACTATTAAGAGGACACATATTGAAGCAAGTATTTGTTTTGGGAGGAACTGGATTAGCTATAAAACATAGATTTTATGTAATTATGGGGAATAATACTATCTAGCTTCCCAAAACATGATTAATCAGATAAACCTAGCAGCTGCATTCACACAGTACATACAACCTACTTGGTTTAATTTTGAATTTTTTATTACTGTATGTCTTAGTTTTGCATGTGACTCACTGTTATTTGATCAGTTTACAGTATAGTATTTGATGCTAGGTCAGAAAAAGTTTAATTCAATAACTAGTTAAATGTTCTGTGAACAGAATTGGTATTTCCTCAAGCCTCCAAGGCTGAAGAGATGCAGGTTCAAATCTCATTCCAGTCATGAACTCACTAGGCAGTATGGCATGAATAATAATGGCACGTTTTTTGAAATACTTAAAATACTTCATAAACTTTTATTGAATCGGTGGTCCCCAATTTTTAGCAGTCTTGGAATTTTGTGAAAAAGTTAAAGGTACTGTCAAATAATGGTTACCTTATATATTTCCATAATGATCACAACATACCACTTTCACAGAAGGGCAAGCTGGTAAGGCCAGAAAAAACTTACTTGTCCAAGATCTTGAATCCAAGATAGATGATTAATTTGAACCCTAACCTTAACTCTTGCCAGCTCCTTAGAATGCTAGTTTTTAGTCTGTATTCTTTTCTTGGGGATCATCCTAGTCTTTCACTCCAGATTTTCTCTCTTCCTAGTCGAAAAACATAAACATATAAATGAGAGAGGATTTTTTTCTTCCTATCTAAGTAAGCTACCTTGCAAGCTTCCCCTATTCATAATATTGTTCTAACCTGCTGCTTCCCAAACTGGCTAGAATGTGGTCATGTTGTCTTTTCCATTCTACCAAATTTATTTGGCAGGAGGGACATTTCCCCAAAGTGAATGGTTTGTTATGGTCTATTCAATTTATATACAGGCTTCTATTTTCATTTTTCTTTCAGGGGGAATTCTAAATACCACTATTATGGGTTGCGCATCAAAGCCAATTCACCATTGCTGCGGCTCATGGAGGACCAGCAACATCTGGCCATGCGGCAACAGCCTTTTTCTCAGAAGCAACGGTAGGAGATTGTGCAGGAAAAGTGCAGAGTTCAGAGGATATATTCATTGGTTGTGAAGATACTTGTTAAAACTTGCCCACAGCCCTAGAAATTTAATATGGGCCAGGTGGATTGGTGGTATAAGGTGGTTTTCCAGATTTCTGTTAGAATCTTTAAGTTTTCCTGCTATCTGGTTTTGTAGTAACCTCCATGATTTGTCTTTGGAAGTTCCTGATTAGTACTTTTCCCTACCTTTTTGTTTAAATTTTGTGCAATCTCAGAAGAACTTCCTTTCTACCTACATCCAGTTTTAAATATAGTTTTGGTAGGGCACCACTACATACTTGTCCTGATGTCATGCGTGCTCCATCCCTTTCCTCACTATTACTGTGCTCCGAAATGTCTTGACTCTAAGTTAGTTTATCTTTTAGGCTCAAACCCGTTCAGAAAATGGAGGGCATGACCAACGGAGTAGCTGTGGGGCAGCAACAGGCCTCAGGGCTATCTGATATCAGTGCCCAAGTGCAACAGTACCAGCAGTTCTTAGGTAAGAATGAGACTTAAGACACTGAGATCTCTGAGTAGGAGGCAGAAGACAATATGTACCATCCTTTATATCGCTGTCTTTGCAGTATTTCTGCAGGGCTCCAGTTTTCCACCTATTTCAAGAAAATAAAACCATAGTGCAAATGAAACCCAAATTTTCACTTGTAGTTTCACTTGCAAATGATAGAAAAGTGTGGCTGTTCATTGGGGTTTAGTTGACTTTGTTGGACTGGCTTTTCCTTCCTCTTTGCAGATGCTTCTCGCAGCTTGCCTGACTTTACAGAGTTGGACTTACAAGGGAAGAATCTCCCTGAGGGTGTTGGGGCTGAAGATGTGAAGGCTTTTCAGCTGCTGTATCGAGAACATTGTGAGGTATGTCATTGGGAAGCAAAATGAGGCATTAGAGCATGAGTAGGTAACCTGAAATCCTTTAGATATTCTAATGATCTTTTTTCGAAATCAATGTTGAAAATGATTTGACTTAAATATGTTGAATGAACTTGGTTTAAAAGGGTTACTGCTGCCAGAAAAAAAATTCCACAAGATGAGCAAGCCTAGTCTTTTGGTAGGGAAAGTTCTTAGCCAGTGACAAGTTGGAAAAGTAATGCGTTTGGGAAATAATAAGTCAGTGAGCAGGGAGGAGTGTTGCTTGGACTCAGTCAGGTAAGGTGTGGGGCTCAGGGGTTTAAGTTTAAGTTTAGCTTTTCCACTGCAAGAAGTAAAATATGCAGTGCATTATAAAACTACTACTTCTCTGCAGGCTATTGTCGATGTGATGGTAAACCTGCAGTTCACACTGGTAGAGACACTCTGGAAGACTTTTTGGAGATATAATTTGAACCAGCCCAGTGAAACCTCCCCTATAGTTATGTGAGTATTACTGCAAAGTTGTCATTTCTTCTCCATGTATGCGATGTGGCCCAATCAATTTACAGCCCTCCTTTTCCACAAATGTTAACTGCAACCTTTAACCAACGAAAGGTACCTAAAGATATTAGTGGATTCCATTATGAAAATATTGTTGTCAGGGCAAATAAAACATTAACTTTGAAAGGAATGTTGACTAGGAAACAAATTTTCCTACTCATTGATTATTCCTGTGAAGAACTATGGGGAGACATGCTGGCTTCTGAAAAAATGAGCTATAATTTTGTGATGATTTTTTTAAAAATTTGGCATATGTATGTTTGATGTTTCAGCCATGATGAAGCAGAGAAGCGTCTCCCAAAGAACTGCTTGGTGATACTGTCTAAGTATGAGCCTGTTCTCAAATGGACTAAAGACTGTGACAACTTGCTATACCAGGGGCTGGTAGAGGTCCTCATCCCAGAAGTGCTCCGGCCCATTCCGAGTAAGCTTATTGTGCACAGCTCATGTTTTCAGCCAATAATGGGCTATGATAAACCTAGGGCAACCAGTGGTGGGTGGAGAGACTTCAGATCTTGGAAAGGCTCTTCCTGAAACAACTGCTTTCTCTCATCGTGGGCTTAACCCCATGTTCTGTGATTGGTGGGGTAACAGTCTTGTTTAGTAGAAAGGGAAGCAGTTAGGTCAACTGTTGATCCATAACAACGACTTTGAAAGTGCCTATTTTAGAGTGAAATTATTGTTGTGGTTCCAATTCTGCTCCAGGTGCCTTGACACAAGCAATCCGAAACTTTGCAAAAAGTTTGGAAAGCTGGTTGACGAATGCTATGATGAATATTCCAGAAGAGATGGTCCGAGTGAAGGTGAGCCAAAGAGCACAAAGTTGTGGGGCAGGAAGTGTGGAGCAATTTGAGATGTTTTCTTCTCCTTCTCCTCCTTGTTATCCTCTTCCTTATAGGAGATTCTAATGTTTTTTGGGAAACTTGAGGTCTGTACTAGGAGAGATTGATAGACAACTCCACTAACAGTTGCTGTGCATACTTGAATCTAGAATGCCACATTCTTCTTCCCACTTTCTTTTGGAATTTGTTTATTTATTTGATTGATTGATATAGTCAACCATCGCACATAAATGACAGGGTGACTTACAATAAAATAGATAGTAATAATAAACTAAAAACAAAAATAACTCTTAGCAAAACCAAAAGGCAAGCTTTATTACACTCCCAGGGCCCAGGCACAGAATCAAATGTTAAGGCCAGCAGAATTGGGGCTAACCTGATCTCAGGTGGGATGATGTTCCAGAGGGGGTGCCATGGAAGAAAGTTCCTCCTCCTGAGTCCCACCACCAATACTCCTTATTTTTTTATTTTTATTTTAATTTGATTTATATGCCGCCCTTCTCCGGAGACTCAGGGCGGCTTACAATGCGTTAAGCAATAGTTAGTTGAAGGCATCTGAAGCAAGCCTCTCCTACTGGTGAGATGGGTAGAAACAATTGGGCTAACATAGTCCCAAGCTATGATGGCTTTAAAGATAACTACCAGTACCTTGAATGTCACCAGAAACACACTGGAAGCCAACACAATTCACAGAGTGATGGTACTACATGGACCCAAACCCCAAAGACATTAATTACCTGCACTATCACATTCTGCACCAACTGAAGCTTTCAAACACTCTTCAAGGGCAGCCCCATGAAGAGCATGTTGCAATGATCCAGTGTGGAGATCATAAAAGCATGAGTAATTATGAGTAAATCTCCCCCACAAATCCAGGAATGAGCGTAACTGCTACACAATCCAAAGCTATGAAAGGCCCTCCTAGCCATGGCTACTACTGTGGTTACTTTTCAGTTGTTCTCTGAACTCCTTAGTTCTTCTCACAAGCAGAATGGTGAGAAAAAAATTATGTCATTTGTGTTTTCTTTCTCAGGTGGCTGCAGCAAGTGCCTTTGCCCAGACCCTGCGACGTTACACTTCTCTAAACCATCTTGCCCAGGCTGCCCGGGCTGTTTTACAGAATACAGCTCAAATTAATCAGATGCTAAGTGATCTCAACCGGGTTGATTTTGCTAATGTCCAGGTAACCATCTATATCGTTATGCTGTAGTTTGGCCATGCTGGTTTTTTTCTTCCTTTTCCATTTGCAGCTAGAAACTAAAAACATTTCATTTTCTTGTTGACTCAGATGGGCTGGGTGCTATTTGTGGCAGTGAACTAAGTAGCCAATATAGGAGTTGCTTCAAATACAGACATAAGAAGGTTTAGTTTACTATGCCCATCTGGGTTAGCATTCTTTTTAAAAAAAATGAATAATGTATTTGCCTCATCTATCTCATTATCAAAGTTGTTTTCTCAGTCATTTCGTTAGAGTGTTTATACCCCACCCTTCAGCCCTGAGTTACTTTTAGAAAAATAAAAACCAGACCATCCATGCTGCCAGCTTTACAATCTGAATAATACATTACAGAAGGAAAGGGAAAAACAGATAATTCAGGCACCTATTCTTAATGTTTAATTTTCCATCCTGTAATGGGCCAGTTGTAATAGGAAGGGGCTACTCAAAAAGGCCGAAATGACTTCCAGAGCCAGAGGGACCAGTTGTTCTTCCTCTCAGGGCAGTGTTCAGCCTGATAGGCCTCTGTGAGGAGAGATTCATCTTTTAAGCGGAGAAAACATATTTCATAATAGCTCATGATATATTATTGGTTTTTTAATACCAAATTACTTTGGCTGCTCTGTTTCCACAATGTTTTAATTTTTTAAAGCCGCTTCAGATTGGTCATTGGTTTATCCGCAGAGAGAGAGAGAGTGTATGTGCAGCAATTGCATTGAAGAATTTTCTTTTTCTCTTTGCTCCTCCAAAGGAGCAGGCCTCATGGGTGTGCCGGTGTGAGGACCGTGTGGTACAGCGGCTCGAACAAGACTTCAAAATGACTCTGCAGCAGCAGAACTCTCTGGAGCAGTGGGCAGTGTGGCTGGATGGTGTAGTCAGCCAAGTCCTAAAACCCTACCATGGCAGCCCCAGCTTTCCCAAAGCTGCCAAACATTTTCTCCTCAAGTGGTCCTTCTATAGGTAAGTGGAAGGTGAGACGCAGAAGTTAGACATGCTCTTTGGTGCCCAAGCTGTAAGTGACTTAATTAACAAGCCATGGTGTTCTACTTCAATGATATGTGCAGCACTGGATTACTTCTCTTTCCAGCTCCATGGTGATTCGGGACTTGACACTGCGAAGTGCAGCCAGTTTTGGCTCCTTTCATCTCATCCGCCTCCTCTATGATGAATATATGTACTACCTGATAGAACATCGTGTAGCTCAGGCCAAGGGTGTGACTCCTATAGCTGTCATGGGAGAGGTAGGTCTTGTGGCTGTTGAGCGTAAGAATGAATTGCTGGCAGAAAGAGTGTTCTGCAAATTCTGATTATCATCCACTTGGCAGGGGTATCCTAATGAAAGAAATACTTTTCTCTATATTTGATTATGTGAAGTTTTTGTATGCAGTATGTATTCGGATGTATAGCTGAATATAGACCAAAACTCCATATAATCAGGAACATTAGTTCTTCTGTTTTGATAGCGTTTTTTGTAGTAGTTTTGTACTTCAAGTGGTTTGATTAATAGGAGATGCCAAGTTATCTCAGGCTGGGTCTCCACTGTCCTTTTTCCTAAACCCAAAATAGAGTTACAGATCGAAAACCACATATAATTACTCATGCTTTATAGCTAGTGGAATCTCCTGTGCAGGAAATTCAGGAACAGCAAGTTATCAAGGTAAAATCATATAACTATATTCTGGATAAAAAATAAGCATTATGTATGTCTATGCAGCTCTGTGTGTTCCTACATCTGTCCCTTACACAAATTTTTCTCACTGTAGAGAGCATAATTGCTTATCCATGTTTTTTTGTTTCCTTTTAAGTTTGCAAATCTGGCAAGTTCCTTGAACCCTTTGGACCCTGATAAAGGTACTGTCCAGCACTTTAAGGAGTTAATTGTTTAAAGGGGTTACTTGTTCGTTTGATGTCAGATTGTTTGGAATTATTACTCCCTCCTTTACAAATGGGAATCAATATTACTTATTCCATTTGTATGAAAAAAGGGTCCCGGAGGGGAGGGGGGGCATATTTAAATATGTTTGCAGCTATGCCTGAAACAGATTCTGCTCCAGTACAAGTTGGTTGTCTAGGGTTAGGTTCTTGATACGAGGGCTAAAAAAGGAAGACAGTTTACGCCGAGAGGTATCCATGGAGTTTCATGTAATGATTAACTAGAACCCATGTCAGCTATCTAAGCTTGTGAATGCTGCTTGGGTAGCATGCAAAACATGCTAGACTCCAATGCTGCATACTTTTGGGTGGTCTCCATTTACCTCATACCTTGTTTCTTGGAAGGCTTTACAATGCTGAATGAGTCCTCCTGTTGTCCATGTACAGGTCTAGCTCATAGGATGAAATTAAGAGTTATCTGCACATCTGGGAGATGTCATGATTTTAAACTCAACAGATAGTGAAATTAAAGAGAGAGACCATTGATCCAGATGTATTCTTAATGCTACTGTTCAGGCTTACATTCGGTCCAAATAGTGTCTGTTGATTCAGAGGTGATTGATTCCAGGATTGTGCTATCTTTGACTCTTGATAGGGTTGCATTCTCCTGGAAAAACCTAGCTTTTCAATCTGAGGGACCTCCTGGACATGGCTTCTGCTTGGGGTACATTTCTCAGAGGCAGTGGCAACACTGGGGCAGAAGTCGAGGTCTGGCAGCAGGGCAGCTGATTGAGACTGTTGAAGGCCCAGGCCCTGCAACACTCTCTGTAGTATCTTGTCCATTGAGATAAAGATGATCTCATGTTTTTTTTTGGAAGCAGGTGAAAGCATGGCTCTTCTAGAAAGCCCTTGGGATGAATTCTAAATCTCTAGATTGGAAATTAGATTAAGGATATAATAATTTAATTGATTTAGACACTGATTTTGTACTGTTTTATATTTAAATTCTGTAAGCTGCCTACAGTCTGCTAGGCTTGGAGGGTGGGGCTGTTAAATAAATCACATAAGTATCTTGCCAAATGTAGGCTATCCCATATACTAGTGAGATGTTAACAATCTTCAGCAAGGGCATCAACGTTTTGAGAAAAAGTAAGCAATTTTTATTTCTCTGTGTGCGTGTGTATAAAAATAAAAAATTAGGGGATTTGCAGTCCCTCTTCTGGAGTGAAAAATTTGTTGGTTCTCCTGAGTGCTAATCCCCGTTACTCAGTCTGGTGAATAAAAGCAAAATGATTGTGTACAATTTTTTAAAAAACAGCAAATATAAAAGGACAATGCAAATTCCCACCCTCCGGGGCTTAAAAATATGGTTTCCTATAGTTTTAGAAATAATTCCCAAATTTCTACTTCAGTTAATCTTTCTCCTGCTCATTTGCCTTGAATACAAACATGACTCTCTGACAATTGTCTGCTTACTTAGATCATAAGTTTACACAGAGTCATAGAGTCATAAAGACATGGCAGCTACCAAGTGCTTGAATTTTGATCAAATCACCCTGGGGCTGCTGCAGCAGCTGCAAGTCTAAAAACTGCTCATAAGTCACTTTTTCGGTTCCTTTGTAACTTCAATTGGTCACTAAATGAATAGTAGTAAGTCAAGGACTACCTATAATGTAAAACTGCCTCTGAACTTCTGGAAGTTGAATTTATATTGCCATCCTTCCACAAATTATCCATGTTTCTGTTTTTCTGGAGAACAGGGTAAAGGCCTAGCCGGGTGTGGCATGGGAACATGAGGAGCATCATACAACAACAAAACAAGAGCGCCTCTGAGGCTTATTTCTTCAAGCCGTAATATCCAAGTGATGTTACCCTTCAGTCTTTTTAAGGGATGGTAGTGAAGCAGGAACAATAGAATAAACAATAAATTCCATTTCTTAGTTCCGGATCCATGTAACACATTCAGGCTATCTGCTCCAAAGCTGTTGGGGGGATGACTCCTCCCATGCATACCTACCTACTTCTTCTAAGACTGTAAAGGGTAGGTAAGGCCACCTCTCTTGGAGGCCTTTATCTGTTTTGGGTGGAACTAGGAAAAATAAGAAAACTGTGGTGGGGGGGAATCCTTTCTCATGAGACCTCCAAGGAGAAGCTCTACCATTCTTGGCTCTGTTTCTTATGGATATCCAAGAAGACTATAAATGACACATTTTCAGTTTTGTTTTATTAACAATCTACGTGAATTCAGTTTTGGAGGGAAGGGAGTTGTTATTGAGACGAGGTGGGTTCTTAATGTTATTTTATGGCACTTACTGTTTTAATTTTTTTGTGAATGAGTTTTCTTTCTGCCAGAGCTTGGAATTTTACTATTATTTATGGTATTGCTAATGTGGACTTTGCTTTTGCTAGCAAGACACAGTAAAAATAATTTAAATTAGTATTAAAAGCACTAGTAAAAGTCAATTGATTTTACTTAAAAATAACATTCTAAATTTATTACTGATTTTAGACATACAAAGAATGAATATATGGCCAGCATTCAGCAAACTGTATGTGACTGTTATAGTCAAAGATTCAGATTTAGTCTAGAATATTCAGAATAATAAATAGCAGCTTGTAATAAAAAAGCAGTGGCATTACAAGTTTTAATTGTGATATCAAGAATACATCACCACTTGGTTAATTTATAAATATTTCAAAATATGGAATTATTTCAAGTGAATTAATACATCTGTTAAAGTAGCATAATTATTAAAAATCAGAAAGTCAGGATAGGCAGAAGAACCTTAAGCCAAAGAAACAAATACTTTAATGAAAATTAGAAAATAAATGTTAAAATTAACATCCATTTATATTTCACTGTTTATATTTTTATGAATTATTTGTATGAAATCAAGACACATTACTATAATTTTTTTCTAACAAGATATTGTATCAGTGAAAATGCATTTTTGTGATTTATTGTGGTTTGATTAATTTGCAAAACTAATAATTTTGCATTAAAGTTTTGTAAACATTAAAAACTGTATTATTATTGTACTATAATGCAAGAGAGGGGAGTGGAAACAAAAATCCAAAATAAAACGTAGAGTCCAGTACAATATGAGAGAGTTTACTCTCTTATCCCATTTTGTGACTAAGAGATGGTTGACTAGTCAGCAAGTCAAAATGTCTGGCCCTTAATTTAGACAAAAGTCTTAGTACTTTTTGTCTTCTGATTCCAAAGTGTAGTGAGCATGGCAGGAGTAATTTTATCCCTTGTATTACATATTCAGAGGTTTCCCTCTATAAGAATGAGCCACTGTTGTATCTCTCAGGTCTAGCAATTTTGACAGTTTAGAGCCAACCTATATCTCTATGGCTGAAGTGACTGAAGGAATACTTAGTTTTGAGGCAATTGCTTGGTGATGGACAACCTCTAAGAAAATAAAGCTTCAATGCCTCAGTACTCAGCGTCTAACTTGCCTTTGTGCCTCCTATTTATTTATTTATTTAATTTCTATACCGCCCTCCTCCTGAAGGACTCGGGGCAGTGTACAGCCGATTAAAACATAATATATATACGACAATTTAAAAACCGATTAAAAGTAATAATTTTGGCTCAGAATTAAAACCTAATTATGATGTAACTGCTTCTTTTGAATTAGATGAAGAAGAGGAAGAAGAGGAGGAGAGCGATGAAGAGATGCCTCAAGAATTGTCTCTAAGCTCCAATGAATCCAGCAGCCTAACAGCCGAGCCTATGGAGCCACCCTCGAAACTGGCACGGACAGATTCACGGGGCATCTTTGTGCAAGCACTGCCTTCCAGTTAAAGAGGAATAAAGGAGGGACTGACTACTAAGTGGCCAGCAGGAAGTCAGGGTGCATCTTGCACTGCGTTGTGCTGCCCTGCGATAAAGATGTGCTGTTCCCTGTCTCCGAGTGGTATGCAATGCGCTTTCATTTCACCCCCATCCCTGGCCTACCTGTACCCAATACAAACCAAGTAAGATCCCAGCAACACTCCCCCTAAAAGCCTGCCTAATTCCTGGTAGCATTGGGGGTGCTTGGTTAGTGGGCTGATCATGGTTTCACTGATTGGGTCAGTTTCTTTTTTTGACTACCTCCTTGATTACCATAGGTAGTCTGAAACTGGCTTAAGTCATGACCCCTTCATCCTTGGCTGATTTTTGAAGGGAATTTATGTGCTTGACCAAGCATGGTCCCATCTTATGCTGCTGGGAATGCATAAAACCCATGCTTTGAGATTATAAAATTGGCCCACGTTTAGCAAGGGCCTAGCCTTTTCTGCCTCTTGGCAGAAGTATGATATGCAGTCTCTGGCACACCTGAGTTAGTTGAGCCATTGAAACTGATTCTTGGTGAGTCATTCCGTCCACTAGTTGGATCAGGTTGAATGTCATTATATTGTGGGAAACTCCTTGTGTCTGCCTGTTCCTTGATGCTGAGCATCTGTCTTAATACTACTCAAGGCTGCTGGACACAAGAGTTTGGATTTCCAGAAGCTTGGACAGTGATGGTCAATGCTTGGGTATAGGGTAGGAATTTGCAAGAATTATTCCAGCTTGAGTGAAAAGTTTCTGTGTAATAATCAGCATTGAATTCTTGAAGCTTTCTGTGGCAGTGGCTGAATTTATAAGTGGATTTTCTCAGTGCAGTATATGCAACTGGGCTTTCAGCTATTCAATGGTGCGATGTTATTTGGAATAGGGCAGCATACACTCTGTGCAGCTGTAATTGTATCCAAGTTTGGTTTGCCATAGATGTATACATAATGATCATTACTAGGACAAGTGCCATCTGCTGTACCCGTCTTTCTGACCCAGCAAAATTCTGGCTACAGTTTCATTTTTTTTTTTTTAGAGGAAAAAAGGAGATTTCAGCATCATGGTTTCAGTTGATACGTCTTGAAATTGTGTCTGCCACTCTAGATTTTCTAATAGAGCTCATTCTAATTCTTCAGCTGCTTAGATTGTCCAGTGCTAATTCCTCTTGGACAATTCATCCCAAGCTCAGTGTTATATTTAAAAAAATTCAGCCTCACATTAAATATGTCTAAATTTATGGATGCTTAATGTACACTTGAAGTTCTGCTGCAAGGTTTTTCTGTTTCTACTTTTCCCTACTTTTTGGGAGCAGGGTGGCAGGAGTAGTATTCTATTCATATGCGTTATTATCATCCCTGAATACAGTTTTTTTATGCAGCTTTCAGACTTGGTGCTTCTCCTGATGATTGTGATACACTTGCAACTTTTAACCAAACTCCGGAATTACCCGAGACATGTCATGAAATCCCACGCTATTAGTGTGAAGCCAGCCTAAGTGAGCCATTTTTGAACTGTGCTAGCACATCAAACATAACTAACTCAACCTGTTTTGGTAATACCTTTTATTTTTCAAGCCTTACTTTGTAAAGCTAGTGGCACTAAAAGTACGCTTAGCCTTGGCAGATGCCTTTAATTGACCAAGAAACAATGTTTAGAAACATTCACCCCACTGTTGACTTCTTAAGGCCATTACAGTATTGGTGATTGGAGTGGGGTTAATTCTTTTTCAAGTGCTTGTAGTCCAAAGATTGCCTGCTATACAGGAATAAGCTAGGAAGTGGGTATAGGAACTGCTACAATCTACACCACTATGGAACAGGGTGCTTACTCATCTCAGCCTAAACTTCTGTTAGCCCACCATTACGTTACTGCAGAATAACTAGAACAGGGAATGCAACACTACTGATCGAAATGATAGATTTGCCAACTTACTGAGAAATAGGAAGCCAAATGGATCAGAAAATAATTGGAGTATAAATGCATACAAAACCATAAGCAAGGACCAGCAATGCAGATTTCCTTCCTATTTGTGAAGGGATAACACAAATGGTCATTAAAAGTCAACTGGATTCATAGTTCACCAACTGAAATTGTTTTGACTTCACATCTATTTAGAATTGAGCATGAAGACTTAGGTTCCATTAGCAGCAAAAGGTATTTTATTTTGCAGCTGGGCAAAATTACTACAGTGCCATTCTTCATTTTTTGACTAAATTATGTAAGGTATATGCATCTCTGTGAAAATAATTTTGTGATTGTGAGCTTTCTAAAGAACTTGATTAAGCACTAATAGCCAATGATTCTTGAATCCAAATTAATGATACTACTGTAATATTCCCCTGCAGAAGTCTTTTAACTATGACTTTTAAATATCTGTAGGCTGTAGGCATACAGATGGGCAGAAGTAAGGGGTGTCAAAACAGTATCTTCTTATGTTTTAGTCCATCTCTACGTGCTATCCATTTAGCCCAGACTTCCATGTAAAAGCACTCAGTCTGATAAACCTGAAATTAGCATGATTTAAATCTAAATTCCCTGAGCAAGAAAATAAGCCTATTAAGAGTATATGCTGCAGGCAAAAGGCCTGTAGTTGCTATTCCTCCTTAGGACACCTCTTCACAGTGGAAGCCATAATGAAAGAAACCCATTTTTAAACTGTTTTTATTTTCATCTTCAGCTAAATAGGCAAGCAGCTGATCCAGCTGCTTCTAGTCCAGGATAAGATCCAATGAAACAAATGCAGCTTCCTTAGCTGCAGGAGACATTAAAGTACCAGGATAAGATACTTTTGGATTCTAGTCATGAAATTATTTTCTGTCCAATTTCTTTTGCTACAGCAAATGAAATGTGTTTCAGGCACTGAACATAAACTTATTACCTTGTAGTCCCTCTTAAAATATGTAAGCCTAACAAAGCTATTTCTATGTAAAGCTGTCTTTAACATAGTAGCCCAAGTTGTGAAGTGGCACAATTTGAAAGGGAGTAAATAGAGGGAAAACACAAGTTTGGACCTTTTTGCTTTGCTCGCAAAGCAAAATGCTGCCTTCAAGGAAACGTTTTGCACATAAAGCACCTCTTAGTTTTGAATTACAACATAGATAGTATTTGCAAGATGCAAGTGAGAAAAATTCTCCCCTGCCTTTACTAGAGGTGCCAGAGCCAATATCCCCTTGCATAAGAACCCCATCTCTCAGAGAAGCACCTTAATTTCCTTATCTGGCTCAACTATCATTTTCATAAAACTATTTGTAGCAAAGCAGCATGTAGTATCCATGGTTTCTACAGTACGTTTCTTGTGGCATACCTAAAATTTCAACTCCATTGTCCTGGACATGTGCATATACCTTGGTTTGTTGGATGTATGAGTATATCCATCAGTGAATCGTAAATTTCGTGCGCCAACAGGATAACCAATGATATCTACAAGGACAAGCACTTATCAGGTTTTGAGAAATAGATTCCTCTGTTCCAGCATTTCCCCTAGTCCTTGCTCTCCGAAATGTATGCAGATTGATATTTAGCTTTATGACAGTCCCAATTCTGGTAAAGAAAATGGATCTAGTTGTTTGCAAAAATCTTGCTTCTGTGAGCTAGCTATTCCCTCTCTTTATAAACCGCATAATGCTGGATCCACCAATCACACAAAACCAACATGAATAAGCTTACCTTTGTATTCAGTTGCTGCCTTACACAACAAAATCCTTTCCTTCTGAACCAGGATTATCTCCATTCACTAAGCAAATTAGCTGCAGAGCAGCTAGGAACAGTTGTTAGTAAACCCAAGCCAGTCTGAATACTGCAGACTGCGGAAATACTTGCAGAGTATATTTAGTAGCCCACACAAACCAGTCCTGTTCCCTCTCTGTGCTAGTAACTAAGCAAACAGATCTGATTACTTGCTACCCTAGTGAAAGTAATCACTCTTCTGGTTTGTAACTGAATATTAGATATTCTAGTTTTAAACAAAAATATCTGTGCTTTTCTATGTAATAACTAATTCTTGTTCTATAAACCACCTAAATATTGTGAGATTGGTGAAGATAAATTACTTGATATTTTTGGGTTTTTCAACCATCATGGCCTTATTTGTTCAATTTTTCCAGTGTTTTAAACCTGTGATATAGATGTTTATTGCAAAATCTACATATTGTATAAAATATATATTTTGTGTCAATCTTTTGTGCGGCGGCAACAGCAGCAGCTTTAGCTGTTCTATAGACTTCAAGTGGAGTCTGAAGAGCTTTGTAGGTGTCCTGAGTCCATGAGATGGGCAGTGCCTGTGGTCAGATGATGTATGTGTGTGTAGTCTAGAGTGCAACAGCTGTTTTCTACCTTTTGTAGTTCTTTCTTAAGAAATAAATTCAGCCGTGTTCTTTGCCTAGGATGCTGCTTGCTTACTCTTGCAAAAATGAGTTCACATTTTAGCCCTCGTGTGCAAAATTAAAATCAAGGTATCTACTTGGCAATTCCAGCACAGGTTCTATGACTTGGATGAACTTTCGGAGGTTCCCAAACTTTCCTGGTTCACAGTGTCCTGGATGCTGTAGCAAGCTCCCTAACAGTTCCATTTATTAAATATTCTACGCTGCCCCTGCGAGTTTGCTGTGGTGCCTGCCATGGCACAGGGTTTGGGAACTGCAGATCTAAACATATAAAGAGGGTCAGGGCTATATTACACCCTTCATACAAATTACAGAGCCAAGAAATAACAGGGAGGAATAAATCCATTTCACATCTAAAGTCATGTTTAAAAATTCATCTCCTGGTGTCCCATCCCAGCAGAGTATTTAGATAGGATGAATACAATTGATGTATTAAATGGAATGAGCATAGCCCTAAAGGATTTTTTTCTGAGACAATCAAATGCCATTTGGCTCCCTTTTAATATTTCACAGTTGTTGTATAACTTCTGCAATTTTTTTTTTAATCAGAGGTTTTTCAGGCAAGTATGTTTCTATTGGAGTTATATAAAAAGGCTGCTATTCATAATAATTGTAAAGTGGAACACGTTTATATTAAACTTCTTGGGGCCTGAAATTCCTATAGTGGTATTTTTGCTAATATATGAATTTTATTCATGAGGACTATTACCTCTGATTCAAAGTGAAGGCTGCCAATGAAAGGGAAATGATGCTTCCTCTCATACCTATCCTGAATTTTAATTACCCTCCCATCTTTTAAGACAACATTCTCTAGCACGTTATGAAAAAATATTTATAATTATAGTTATTTATACTAACTGAAATCACACAATTCAGAAACACCTTGCTCAAACTGGGAAAATCTAAGTTTGGACAGATCATCTAGGGACCATAGGTACACCATGAAAAAAAGAATGTATTACGATAGCCAGTGTGAATTATGGAATGTTCTTGTATAACAAGCAGTAAGTATCTTAAATTTGCATATCCTTTCCAGATAGTAAACATTCCCTAATGTCAACCTGTGTGAAAATTCTGTTGTGATGCTGTAATTCCTATTGAATTTTTCATCAAAGACGAAAAGAAGCAACAAGCGTTAGTCTCAGTTTAAAATATTTATTGCAGGAAATAAGACCTGCCGGAGAGAAAACAGAGAAAAACATTTGTAATCAGTCCACTACGTATGTGAGGTGGGGTGGCATTTACATTTAGGAAGGAAAAAATGGATAAAGTAACAAGTACAAAATGACACTGAAACAAGAAAGGGATTTGGTCTCCTTAAACAATATTGTTGCCTTGGAATAATTTGTTCTTGCATTAGAGGGAGTAAAATCTTACAGGATATTCCCACCTATCCCTTGTAGCTTCACCAAATACAGATTACTATAGAAGGTTAAACAGCTACTTTCTGCTTTTTCTAAATCAGCTGAAGTTGACCCATCCTAAACAATAATACTAGGATGCAAGGAAGAGTTTGTTTTTCAGAGTATCAAGCAACCTTGTTTTTTCACATCCCACCCCCCCCAACAGCAACAAGGAAGAAGAGGATATGTTTCTATTCACAAAATCTAATGTTTCCAAGATCATCTAGGCAACATCTACTCTAAAGAAATGGGAAAATTAAAAATGTTTAACAAGGAGGTAGTTGAATTGGACATACAGTTATGGCAAAAAATGAACAACTGTTGTAAGTTTTGCTTCTGAATCAGATCTCATAAGACAATCCATGTGTAGCGCTCATTGTCTGCTAGGAATTTTAACGAACAACCTGCAGTTACAAACAAAAAAGTGTTAGCCAGGAACTAGTGTTCTTGCAATACAGGTTTCTCCAAAACTAACTACATTACAGTCATCTTGGATGGAATTTCTGGAAATCTGCTATCTGAAACCAGAAACTACGATAGTAATTAACTGCTGCTACTTCATGGGCCATGATCATTCAAAGAGATCGAATGAAATGTCCAAAAATCCAGAATCAAGACAAATGTCTACGCTCTTTAACATTACAAATTTTCTAGAAAAAGTATACTACATTTTTTTTTTCATAAAGAATGTCAGAGAATTTAATCTTTGATTAAAAGCTGGTTATTATGTCAATACTGGTCAGCCAACTGAATCCACTGATTGTGATGAAACTTTCATAAGACAGAAAATACCTTTGTGAAGGGCTTCATTGGTCATTCGGTTGACATAGCGAACACTGCTCTCTGGTACAAGCCACTTCATTACCATATCCACACAGCTTTTCCGGTAGGAGCTCCACACACTGCCACTGAGAGGCGGGAACTAGGGTTAGTTAGCAAGCCCAGAGTTCACACATGGATAATATTCATACAGCATTTAGAATCATGGAAAAATACTAATCAATTTGCTCTCAAATGTAAGATCATCAGAACAAGTGACAGATTATTCCCTATGTTCCTTTAATTTACTATATAATAATGGTCACCATTCATTTCCATCAGGAGACATGGAATGGTACCTTTTGAAAATCTTTGCAGAAAGGGAAATGTCTGAGGAAAGAGAGTGTTGAAGGGCTGATTTTCATTAGAAAGATTGCAATAGCAAAATGGTAAAAAAGAATTCAAGGATAAATATACCCCCAGAAAAGTAATAGGTCAACCCTGACTTACCTGGTCTGCCCTTTGACTTCGGTGAGATCACCTACACTGACAGTGACAAAGATGCCAGTATTCAGATCCCATGCCACTTTGAGGCTGGTGTGATATGTCTTTGGTCTGCAGACGATAATAATGAATAGAAGATTTCCCATCCAATAAACTCAAGACAAATAATACACCTACTTATATCAACGTTTTCCCAACCTTATACAGTTGCTCCCAAGAAATTATTTGCTCATATAGATAGCATATATTGTCTCCAAACATTTTGAGAATGTATTTTAATACCTGGGATATAATATTTTAAATTTCTGGTAAAACTGCAGACCTTCAGATCTGCTACAATGCTTCAGAATATGCAGAAGCACTTGGAGGTTTTAAAACAGTTGTGCCTTTTTGCAAGATTGCAATGTTGCTTCAGGAAGGCTTGTGCAGCAGACATACAATCCTGGAAACAAATCCAAAGAACTGTCTAGCCTGGCATTGGACTCACCTGAGCTGTCCCTCTTCATCTGGAGAAGGAAATGCAAGAAGTAAAAGTCCAATATTGATGATGACTTGATTGGTTTCTGGACATACCTAAAAGACACATTTAAAGGAATTGAATAAGTTGCATTCGGCTGGAAGCCAAAGTTTTATTTTCATCCAAAGGGTACCCAAGGTTAAAACTGAAAGGAACTTAAGAAAACAAAGGATTGTCCTTAGATCATTCATGCCCCTGTGCTACATATGTGACATGTAGTGTTTTAATTCTCAAACCGAAAAGAAATACACTAAGCAGGAACCCTTGAATTTCAAAATATCAAAATGTAAGCTTAATTAGCTGGTTGGCAGTTCCTAACATCTAAGTCAGCTTTTATTGAATGAATAACAAAATGTTTTCCTACTCTGCCCCTTACTAGTCAGAGACTTCTCTGAAGTAATTCTCTTTTCTACTCAAATCAGCCACTCTAAAATGGCACAAATAAAAGCTTTATGGGAACAAGTGATCAGAGTGATGAGCTAGCAATCCATAATAAAATCATCACACTATCAAGGAAATGTTGCCTGTACAACCTTATTCCAAATTTTAATCCTTTTACTATGTCAATCCACATGTCATAAACTGTGAGACTCATAGGTTACCTTGAACAAGAAAGTTTAGAACTGACAAGAGACAGTACCACAGTACAATGAGGCAATAGTAGTGATGCCAGAGCTTTTAATTAAAACTTGGCACTATGGATCAGAATAGTCAACATGAAGCAAACTGGCAATATTTATCTTCTAACTAATGATGGAAACATGACTCAGACCTCTGCTCCACAGAAATTCTGATTTTTTTAAAAAAATATATTATTTCTTTGTTCCAATAAATTAGACTGCTGAGAACTTTTTAAATAAGAACAGGTCAATATAAGCTCAATTCAGTCATTAAATTGATCCCAGTACTGTATTTGTTTGGGTTGCTGTTGTAGCTTGATCAGATGTTGTAGCCCTGAATTGTTATTGTGAGCTAATTCACCCACTGTGTTACTGCTGGAAGAGCTATCTAGCTTTATTATTCATGCCTGCCTACTTTACACAATCATCATGTACAGGAAGTTCTGGAAAGCTGCCAGACTGCCCCAAGAATGGCTGGATTGGAAGAAGAATGGAAGTTTTTACAGAGTTCTCACAATTTGTATTTTCTGCATTTCTAGTTCTAGATACTAAAGGAAATTCTAATCTTCTTTATTCTTTAAAAAGAACTGAGGTTCTTCACTAAGAAGCATTTTTTTTCATAAACCAGAATGGTGTCTGTCTGTCTATCTATCTCTATCATCTATATCTCCAATTGCAACCAGAGACTCTTCTACTCTTCTGTATAACTTAAGTTTTACTCTCCACAGTTAAATACACATGTATGTTAATCTCTTACATATAAGTTATTTTGAGAATATATGTTAAAAAGCAATATAAAATATAAATAGAAGCATTTTCTATCAGGGATGACCTCAAATCTGCAAAAAGCCATATCTCTTATCTTAACTATACAATCTTCTTGGACTGTAAAAATATCTTAATTCTTAAACATCCTTATTTTAATAAGGTGTCTTCCAGAGGTAGAATACAATTCCCAGAACCCCCATTTACTAATGCAGTGAGCATCACAAATATGACACAAAAGGAAAGTGGTCTAACAATTCTGAGGGAGGTATGTTGGGAAAAGTCTGGTCTAGAAAACTCAATTTGCACTATTTTTATTTATACCAAGTGACATCCTTAGAGAGTCCATTTCCACCCCGTTTTAGACAGGCAGACAGCAGTTTGCCTTATACCCACTCTATAGTCAAAAGTATTGAAAAACAAATCATTACA